TTTAAAACTAACGTAATTTTTATAGTATTTTTAGCTGCTAATACGTATTAAATACGGCCGCTTTTATTTTTATAATAATACTAAGGTAAAATTTTATTAAAGATTTTTATTATTGTATTATAGTGTTTATTATTAAAAATTATTAAATTATAATAGGGTAATTACGGAAAAAACTATTATTATAAGTTTTTAATATAATATTTTTATTTTTATAAATATTATATTTAATTTAAAACGGGTTATTAAAATCGTGCCCTTATACGCTTTATATTTAAAAATTAAAAATAATTACTAATAATAATTTATTATAAGCAATAATCCAATTAGCGTAATTATAAAATAATTAAATTAATATGCGTGCGTATATAATAAAAAAACGCTATTATTGCCCGATTATTATTTTATTATTTTATCGCGTAAAAAAAAAGAAAAAAAAAAGCTATTATAAGTGCTAACGCGGGTTATAAAGACCTATATAACGTACCTTCCTTGCCGACGCAGCCGACGCCTTTTAAAAATGCCGTATTAAGCTTAAAGAAAAAGGAGAAGAAAAAATAAAAAAAAGCAAAAGTAAAAGCAAAAACAAAAGAAAAAACAAAAAAATAACAAACCTACCTAAAATATATTATAAAATAAATATAACGGTAAATAAAAAAATATATAATTAATAATATATAAAATATCGTATTACGTAAAAAGCCGTATAATATAAATATAAATTTATCCGAAATAAATATTTTATTTTAAATAAATTGCCGATAACGATATTATTAATTTAGCTATTAAATAAACCGGTTTAAAAACCGCTAAAATATAAAAAAAACCGTATTAGCTATAAAAAAGATTTTAACCTCTTTTATTCGGTTTTATTTAATAATAAAAATTTAAAAATAGCGCTATTATAAATTTTTGCTATTTTTTCGGAATAAAAATACTTTTGCTACGCTAAAAAAAAAAATTTATAAAACGTTTGCGTAAATAAAAAAAAAATACGCCGGTTATATTTATAATAATAATTAGATAAAATATTTTAATAATATATATTATAAATAAAAATAAATCGGGCGATTTAGCTAATAAAAAAAATAATATTTAAAAACGATAACGATAAAAATTTAAAGCTATAAGCTTATAAAATAAAATTTTTTTTAGGTTAAAAAGCCTTCGTATTTATCCGTCCGATAAATACGAAGCGGCTAAAATAATTATATATTATAACGGCCGTATAGCGGGACGATTTTTTATAAAAAGCGTAATAAAATCTATAATTATTAATTATAATAAGGAAGGCAAAGGATAACTAAAAAATAATAATTATAAATAATAAAAAATAAAAAAAAAGGGAAAAAAAGGACTATAACGGCAATAATTATAATAATAATATTTTAGTATTATTTTTTAATATAATAAAGGCCGGCGATAACGATAACGATAATAATAACGATAACCTAAATTTTTAAAATATATTAAGCTAAAATATTACGAATATTTAATAAATTGCGTTATATTAATTATTTTTTATATAAACGCTATTTATATCCGTAATATTTAGCGAGTTTATCGCAGGCTAATTAGTTTTATTATTAATATAATTTATAAAATTTAGCAAATCGCTTTACGTCCGTTTTTGCTTTTTATATAATTTTTACCGCGTTTATTAGTTTTACGGTAGCTAATTTTAATCGCTTTTTAGCTTTTTTAAAAAGGATTAATAAATCGGCTAATAATTATAACGGTATAAAATTTTATTTTAATATATTTATTTATTTTTTATATTTATTATAAATATTTTTTATTTTACGGAATTTAGTATATACGAAATAGACCTCGCGTATAATACGCTATGCCGCCGCCGAAAATAGCTATTTTTTTGCCGCGTATTTTACGGTATCGCTAATATATATTATATTATTAACCGTACGGTATATAAACGGAATATTAAATTTATAATAAGGTAGTAAAATATTATACCGGTATAACGGGTAATTTTTAAAATCCCGAAGTTATTTCCAAACGTAACGCTTTAAAAATTTATATTAATAAAAAAATATAAAGATTTTATTTTTAACGGGATTATTTTTTAGGTATATAAAATATTATTTTTTTATATTTAATAAAAATAATAAAATAAAGCGAGGCATAATATCGTTTTTTTTAATAAGCTAAAATTCGTTAAAGCGGTAATTATAAAATCCTTTATAGCGATTTTAAACGTAAAACCGTAGCGCTTTAATTTCGGATATTCGTCGATAAAATTAAAATCGGCAAATTATAAAATTTAATATTATAATATCGGCTGGGTTATAAATAATGCATAGCCGGAATAATTTTGGCTCGGTATAAAAATACTTTTTAGCTAATATTAAATCGACCGATATATATATTTTTAAAATCCCGTTTTAGCTAGCTAATATAATAATATTAATAGTAATTATAAAATAGCCGATTTTGGCTTTATCGGGAATTTTTGCTAGGTTAGGCCCGCCGGAATAGGCTATTTCGAAAAACGACGAATAAGCGGTGAATTATTTAGGTTAAAAACGCTAAAAAATATTATTTAAAAACGATTAACTAATAACGAATAAAACCGAAAAATATTTTAAATAAAAAGCGGTTATAAAATATAACGTAATTTTAAAAGCTTTATTTAAAATAAAACGGAAAAAAATATATAATAATTAATATTTAAAGATTTTTCCGGTTATAATTAAAAAAGGTATAAAATAAAAATATAATTTATAATATATTATAATAAAAAAATAAATATATAAAAAAATTATAAATTAAGGCGGACCGGAATATATTACTATTAAAGTCCGGAAACGTATAATTAGAAATTATTTAATCGGTATATAGTTTTAAAGCGGAATTTAAAATAAAAAGCGAGATTTTTTTTAAATTATAGCGATAATAAAAAAAAAATTTTAATTTAATTAAATTATATATATAAACGGAAGGTAAATTTTGGTTTATATAATATTTAAGTAATATTAAACTATATTTACTATTAAAAGCGTAAAGTTTTTTTTATTTTTTTTTAATAAAAAACTATAGGTAGCTATCGAAATAAATATAATAAAAAGTATTAAAATTAGCGTTAAAATTTATTAAATAAAGCGAAAACGGAGTAATCGGATTTCCCGGGCCGGATTTTAAGGCCTTAAAAATAGCTAAATAATAATTTATATTAAAAAAATATATATTTATATATATAATAAAAGGAAAATAATAAATTTAGAATTTATATAAAAATATAATTTATTTTAAGTAATATATAGGTTATAGGTCGATTCGGAGGGTTATTTATAAGTTTTTATTAATATTACCGCTTTTATCCCTTATTAAGCTCGGATTAGCGGTTAGCTAAATTAATTTAAATTAATTTATTTTAGCTATTTAAGTTAATTTTTAATAAAAAACTAATTACGTAATAATTAAGCTTATTTTTATTTTTTATATATAATATAATATATACCGCGCGGCGGCTAATATTTATTTTTTTAGCTTTTTATATAATAGCCTAGCAGGAAAATAGCAGAATAAGCTTACGTATTATTATTTACGGAGGTTTTAATAAATTATTAATATTTTTTCGATTTTTATAATATTAGCTTTAATTCGCCGTAGCTTTTCGGCCGCGGACGCGATTTTTTTTACGGATAATATATACCTTTTATTCGGTTTTTTTAAAAAAGCTCTTTAAGCTCGATAATATTTTTTTAATATAGCGGTATATCCGGATTTTACAGCTATTCTTTAGCTTAATAGAAAAGTATATATAATTTATTTTAAAGCTTAATTATAAATAAAAAATCGGTGGCGTTTTCGGAATCTTTAAATCCGGTAATAATTTTACCCTTTTTAGCCTTTTTTTTTACGGGTTTTAATTAAAAATCGTTTTTATTTATAAATTACCGATTTATTTTTTAATTCGCTTTTATTAGCAGCCGTAACGGCGGCGCGTTTTTTTTCCGATTTTTCTTTTTCCGCTTTTTATAATTTTAGCGGTTTCTTTTTTAGGTTTTAAACGGTATAATCTATTTACCCGTTAAACGGCGGTAGCCTTATTTTCCTGCTTTTTTTTTTAATTTTATTACGAATTCGAGGCTTTTACGGTATTTTTAGAAAAGGGTTAATTAAAAAAAACGAATAATAAATTATAATTTACTAAAAAATTATTTAAATTTAATCCCCGCGTTATATTAAAAAAGGTTATAATTAGCTATTTTAATTTAAATATTAAATATTAGTATCGTTAAAATTAAAGGAAATTATAATAAAAAATTAATAAAAAGTTTAAATTATTTTATTATAAACGAATATCGCGGGTTTTTTTATAATAATTTTCGACCTTTTTTGCTTAAGGGTCGGTATTATTATTTTATTTTTTAGGCGACGCTAATTAAATATTTAATATTTAATTTTTAAGCGTCGAATAAAAGCGTTTAATTATATGCTTTTAATATTTAAAAATATATTAATATAAATAAAATTTATAATTATATATTTTATATATAATAATTTATTTATATTAGCTTTTTATATAGGTTTATAATTATAATATTATAAAATTAACCTCGGTTTATTTCCCGGGCCTAATTTGCGGCTTAGGTAATTATTAGTAATAATTAATTTATATTAATTTAATTTTATATTTTATTTTATATATTAATAAATTAGCTAGGCTTTTTAATAATAATAAATAAAAATATGCCTAAGCATATAATAATATACTTTAAATATAATATTAGTTAAATAAAAAAAGCTTTTTTAAACGCGCGATTTAGCTAGCCAGGCCTAATTACACGTTAAAAAAAAGGTTTATTTTAATTAATATTTAGGTAATAATTGCGGTAAGCGCTAATTTAGCCCGTTAACGCTATAATAACGATAATAATAATTAAATATTAAATTATTTATTTAATAAATAATATTATTTATTTATTATTTTTTTATAGCTATTTTCGCATTTTATTAAATTTTAAAATGCAATTTATAAAATGCGATTACGTTATATTTAAAAAATCCTATTTTATGCGTTTAATTTTATTTTACGGCAGGCACCGATTATTATAATTAGTTAATGCGCCTTTAGCCCGCTATAATCGGAAAAAGGCAGCGCCGTAAAATAAAAATAAATCGCTTAAATAAATAATTACGTTTAATTATTAATTTATTACGCTTAATAAATATTATAATTATACGGATAAATATATTTAAAGCTAAATTTATTCGTATTAATTCTAAATACCCTTTTTAATATTATATAATAATAATAAATACCCGCCTTTATCGCGCTTAAAAGGATTATCCCTTTTAACGCCTTTAAAACACCCTCCAAAATCAGGGGGTCCTTTTAAATTACCCTTTAAAATGCCCTTACGGCCCTTATCGGCCCTCCTCCGGGAAAGGATTTCCCTCCTAAAACAGCCCTTTTAGGGGCCAAAATTACCAAAAATGGCAATTTGCCCTCACTGATAATTGAGCTGTACGAACCAGTGGCCTTGACGACATTAGGGCTCTTTGTATCGGTGCGTTCTGGCTGGCTGACCTGTCCTGGCCGTTTGCAAGCCTTGCTGTCCGTCTAGCGACAGACCTTCAACTACATAAAAGCTTCGCCAAGGCCGTAGATGGAGATGGAGAGCATTATGTACGCGCTCGCCTGTACTACCACGTCAACGTTTGCGATCATCATGCGTCCATTGCATTCGGTCGACCGCCTCTGACTCGCGAGTCAGAGGCAATCCGCAACGCTCGAGACTTTTTGAAGAGCACACATGCAACCGAGGATGACGCACGCCTTGTTAGCCAAGTCTGTCGTTGGAGTCTACTGTCCACGATATATGATGCATTTGGAGTAGATGTTGACCGGCCGCTCTCTGCCACGCAGGTGCCTCATCTCCGAAGACTTGCGGTAGCCTTGGATGATATTCGAGCAGAATGGTCGGAGAAATTCGCCCCCAATGCCCATGTCGGCAATTATCCTCGCAAAGGTGTTAGCCTACAGTACTACTTTGCCAAACTCTACCTGTGCTCTCACGCTTTCAGGGGACAAACACCAAGCAACGATACTTGTCTACCGCCGGACCTGCTTGTTGAGTTGCACGAGATCGCGGATACTGCTGTTTCATCGGCACTTTCCATACTTCGTTTTCTTGCCACGGACCCGGAGACTCAAGACTTTCTTAATGGACTCCCTACATACTTTCATGTCATGGTCACGTTTGCTGTCGTGTTCCTTATGAGAGTCTCGGCTCAGCCATTACTCAACGTGCGCCTTCACAAAGAAGAGGTAAAATCGTTGGTCGAGGCAACCTCGACTGCGTTGCAGGGTATCACATCCACATTGCATCATCAGCATCTTCTTGTTAGTATCTACCAAGGCATAAGCGACATATTACGACGTTCAGAAGCTGGAAGCGAACAAAGAGCTTTGGTGATGCCGGAGCCTCGAGACGAGCAGCACAACTATGAACTCTGGAGTCACGATTTCGCTTTCGATCCATATTTTCTTGGCACATTTGACTTTCAATTGAATCAAATGATGGACTTTGATATTGAATCGGAAGTAGCTACTAATGATCCGCTGCTATAGCAATGTGATCATTGAGGCCATTACTAATGTTATGCATTCAACACCAAGTCGAACACATGAAAGTTTCTCCAGCCCGCCTTGCAGCGCAGTTTACTATCATCTGAAATAGGACGAGACAGAAGCAATGGGACGTCTTGCTCCGAGAGGCCCCCGTGAGACCTCAGCGGATGGTCTCCAATCATTGACAGGTCGTGCTCGTCTTGTCGGCTCCCTATAACCGCATTCTTTTGAGAAACAACCACGAAATCGCCTTCTCTGTCAACTGGTTGACTGAGCTCTCTAGCCGCCTCCTCCGCATTAAGAACCAGCTCGACTTGTGAGAGAGACTTGCAAAAGTCAATCATCTCGCTTATGTTGCCTGGTTCTCGTACATAAACTCTTACAAAAGAACCAAGAGCTCCGTGGTGTTTCACAAACGGGTCAGTAATGGGGCAGATGACTCTTGCGCTCCCCAGACCCCATTTGTTGACTAGGGCATCCTCCAAGAACAAGATATTGGGGACGCCGTCGTCGTTGCACTTGCTGCTCATTCCATGGTCCCCTGTCACACCGACCACGGCACCTAGCTCGACGAGTCTTCCGATGCGTTCATCGAGTGCCGAAAGAAACTCATTGGCTTCAGGAGCCCCTGGACCGTGCTTATGCTGAATGTAATCTGACAGAGTTAGATAGAATAGGTCGGCACGTTTCTCTTCCAGGAGTTTGATTCCCGCATCGAGCACAAAGAGGGACAGATCACCAGAGTACTGGGTGGGCGCTTTACGACCGATCCACTCTTCAACCCCCTCAATGCCATTTTCTGAGAGTGTACATTGGTCGGCCGCCTCGGACGAGAAACAAATGCCTCCGCTGTTGAGCTGCAAGCCATGCGCGAGGATGCGGCGCAATTTGTCCTTGGCTGTGATTGCGGCAACGCGGACACCCTTTGCAGACATTTGTTCCAAAATGGTTGACCCGCGGAGCAGCGAGTCGTCCTTGATCATGGTCTCTTTGCCGGTGGTACGGTCCAGAAAGAAGTTGCCCGCAATGCCGTGAACCGAGGGAGGCTGGCCCGTGATGATGGAGACATTGTTGGGGTTGGTAAATGAGGGCATGCATGATTTGGCAGTGGCATGAAAGCCTTTCTGCACAAACTGTGCGAGATTTGGGAGAATGCCATCGGAAAGACCACGCTCTAGATACTCGGGATCGAATCCATCCACACAGACAACGACGGTGGGCAGTTGAGGGATGGCATAGGATCGCCCGTGTAGAGTAATGGTTTCTCCTTTCATTTTTGTGAATGGAAATATTAGGCAGACAAGAATAGTATCTTTTTATCTCTCGAAGCAACGATGTGGTTCAAGATCCATAGCTCATGCTGGAATCGACGATGCTTAAATAGTGGTCCAACCAGCATACCAAAGACCGAATGCTACACATTTGCGGGACGAAGTCCGCTGCCACCAATTCGTCAGTGGATGAGAGCAACCGGACTTCGTACCGGTACAGGGCTCTAAGTGGAGTCAATTAGCCAAATTTTATCACAAACCTTCGAAAGGTCTGTACAAAAAGTAGTATTAGCCATTGGATTGGAAACCACCATGAGCAGCAATGGACGCCTGTCCGTCGGGATTATTACACTAGGCTATCCGCAGGCTTGCGACCGTACACTATGTACCTATTCGAGATCATCAGCAATTGGCACGCTCGGTTATCTACTATATGATGAATGCTTACATGCGGTAAAATACGCGATAGTCTTCATTTAGAGAGTCCACCTTGAATCTCGTGACCAGATCCTCGACCTGTTCTGGCGACCAGCCCAGCCCCCGCAGAAGCTGCCATCCAGCACCGCGGACCCCCTCGTAGAGATCTGTATACATGTATTGTCCGATACGCTTGAGCTTGTGGTCGCTTGGCCATGAATTTCCGGGAAGGTCCAAGGTGATCTCCTTAACATCAGTGACTTGGAAGAGAGGTTGATTAGTGACTACAGCTTTGACATGCAAAGTGAGTGCATTGGGCGTGTCATTACAACTTACAGCCTGCCTCGATCAGCCAGTCTTTATACTGCAAAGTGACAGTAGGGTCACATCCCTGTGCATCCAGACCTTATCGCAACGAATCCCAATACTACTGCATAACAGTTCCTTTATGGCTTTCGTCATAGGACATGGCGCAGGGGTACATGTCATGATACTCGATCCAGCCACCCGGAGCCAGGTTCTCCCATGCATGACGGAGGACCAGTTTAGGGTTGGCAAAGGCCATACAGACGAGACGCAGGTGTACGTAGTCGAATTTGGGCAGTCCGGGGAAGAGCCATTCATCCTCGGCATCAGTCTTGATAAAGTCGCCGTTTTGGGGCCGGTTCACTGGTTGAATTCCGCTCAGGGCGGTGCCTACAATGTGAGAATCTGGGTTCTGCTCGGCTGGAATTGGCAGACACGTCAGTATCTTGAAATGGTGAAATTCATGGGCCGTGACGACTCACCAAACTGAATTGCCCAGATCCCGGTTCCGGTTGCAACATCCAACACCAATCCAGGCGACGTCGTCATTGGTGCAAGCGCTAGTCTTCCATCCAGAGCCATCACAAACATTTGGTATTGAAAATCTAGCCTGTCTTGTTCTGCCTGTCAAGGACACAAGTCAGTCTTGCCTATTGATTCCACGGACCGCTCATCCTACAGCATCATTGGGAAGAAAGTATTTCCCCTCCTTGTACCCGTGATATGTTCGACCGTTCTCCGCCAGCACCGCGTCTGCCTCTGCAATGGAGCTGCCGTCAGGGACGCGAAGGAGTTCCTCGGGGATCGGAAACTGGAGCTGGAATTGGTCCCAGGTCATCTAAGACGGAGTAAAAGGGACATGCGACGCCGCTCGAAGCTCTTCAATGGTCTCGGTTTCGTTGACATTTTGCGAAGACCCCATTGCACTGACACGATACATGTACAAAAAGTCCACGGAATGCAGTGTCTTCACACACAAGAAGACTCTCAGACCCAAGGGGATATGGGATGAGCCAAGGCTAGGCGCAAGACCCAGACCTTTGGCTATTCCAGGAGATGGAGCAGCTGATTCGAAGTGAGGGGTTACTTTGCACCTGCAAGCAACTGAATATCACTCGATCTGGGGGGAATAGTTGAGGTGGGTTGGGTTTGCATTCGACCCAGACTGTCGGGACCATTCATGTTTACCAATGTAATTACTCATGTACTTATCTCGGTTGGCCTGTACCATGGGATGAATGCCGTAAGCTCCAACAAGAAATGGTCCAATTAGACGAGTCTTGCGCTTTTGCAAGGGCTGTCATTGTGCAAATATTACTTATTAAGCGAATATATTCGTTGCCAAGCTCGTCAAGTTCAATAACGGCGGCGGCCAATAGGGCAGTGGCAGTAAACAAGCACGTGCGAGAACATCAACAACATAGTACGCATGTCTCGTGATGCGCAAGATTCTGGGATCCAAGACTAGAAACTCATGTGAAGCATATTTACAAGTGGGAATATCGCTTTCACATGCCAATCGATCTATTCGTTGTACTTGTAGGTATTTAGTAGCAGACAAAGTGTTATATACGTTATGGGAGACGAGGCCCAGAAGGAAACAAACAAGCATAACAGGAAGACCTACCTACTGTGTAGACCTGACTCCACATTGGCCTACCTGGGGTGCTAGGTATCAACCGACGCCCTAATTACGGATATATCTTAACCGATCTAGTGGTTATCCAAGATGGTGCCAACTTCAGTTTGGCCATCTGGACCCTGGACCCTGGACCCTGGCTTAGCGCATGCCATCCATCACTGCATTAACCATTAGTTGTCGCTCCTTTTCAAATTCATCCTTCGCGTCCTGAGATTTCCTCTCCTGTGCTTGACGATTTTCCGTCGCAATTGCTCCTGCCATTTCATCTCATTCACGTACATAGATCCACTGGCATTGCCGTGAGAGTCTATTCGGACCAAGTGCGTTGTAGCAAGGACGTACCCACTCGTCTATCTGCTGGCCGCGCCGACGTTCACAATGAACGGGACAAGTGGTGGAAGAAGCACCGATCTGCTGGCTGGCGTCCTCTCCGACCCCACTGCGGCAGGATACAAGGTTCTCGGTGCCGTCGCCGCTGCCTACATCTGCTACAAGCTCTTTTTTGCTGCCTCCAAGCCTCTGTATTTCTTGCCAACGTGGGTGCCGCTCGAGATCGCCCTCGCGACCTACCTGGCTTCGGCTGGAGGTTGGGGCCGCCGCATCTAGTAAGTCGACGTCGACACTCAGTGTCCACTTACCTATCCCCACGCTCTGATCCTGAAGATTGACACTCAAGCCACCTCCCAGTTCCTTATTCCGGCGTTATGATGGATCCTTGTTTGGCCTTACGAGATCTCACCAGGTCATCATTGATCTGCCCAATGCCGATCGCTTCATGACCCAGAGCGGTCACAGCTTGGAGCACCTCCCGGCCCATTTGACTCTAATGCTACGCGTCTTTGGCGCTGATGATTCACCCGAATTTGTGGAAAAGGTCAAGGCCACGATCAAGCCTCTTATCAGTGTGGTTGAAAAGGAATTCCTCAGCGAGGCTGCCTCCACGGCTGCCCTTGAGCGCGGTCAGGTTGTTTACAGAATGTCGTCGCTTGTGTCCTTTACTGAGGACATGGATGAGATGCAAGTGTGGGAGCGCGGCGCCAACGTCAAGGTCGTCAAGGCGAATCTCCCAGGACAGTCTGGCGCCGTGGAGGCTGACTTGATGGGTCTGATTCGTGATTTCGGAGCCACCATAGCTATCCCAGTCCTCTACGGCAAGGACTTTCTCCAGCGGAACCCAAATCTTCTCGAGGACTTTTGGAAGTTTGACAATGATGTCTTCCCGCTGTTGATGGTGGGAGTTCCATCATGGGCGCCGTTCAAGATGATGCAGGAGGGCCTTGCCGCTCGCAAACGGATGAATGAAGCCCTTCATGGGCTGTATCGTCGTATTGATCAATACCAGAAAGGAGAGCCCGTCGACTTTGGTGCTGACATGTCCGATGTGGGCGCAGCCTTGGGACGAAACCTGGTCTACGACGAGTACAATGTCACATTCCAGCACCGTGCTGATATGGATCTTCCGTTCCTCTGGGGCCAAAACGGCAACACGCAGCCACTCCTCTTTTGGTATATTCTCTACGTCTACTCGACTCCCGGCCTGGCGGATGCGCTGCGCGAGGAGATGGCTCCCCACGTGAGCCTGAGCGTTAAGGATGGAGGTGTTGAGATTGAGTCGGTCGATATTGCAGCCTTGAATCGGGAGTGTGCATTGATGAAGGCTGCTCTGTTCGAAACCTTCCGTTTAGGCAGCGACCCAACCTCCATCCGCCGTGTCGCCAAGCCCATGGCCGTGTCTGATGGCGAACACACACATCATTTGCCAGCTGGCAGCTTCATCTCAACAGCTTGGGCTACCGTCCAGAGTGATCCGGCCGTCTACCCGGAGCCACAAAAGTTTATCCCGGAGCGATTTCTAGAGTCTGATACCGAAACTGGACGAAAAGTAGCCCGCTATGGTCGACTACGACCGTGGGCTGTCGGCGGTGGATCGTGCAAAGGACGTACCTTTGCCGAGAAGGAAATACTCACCATTGCTGCTTGCATGCTGTGTGTTTGGGAGGTTGAGCCAGCTGGTGGGGAATGGCAAATACCCGCCATGATTCCTGGAACTGGCGCCAAAAGACCGGTGAACGACGTTCGTGTTATATTCAAAAGGAGGGTGTCGAAATAATAACAATCGACCATCCAAGACTATGTACGCCTATCAAAATTCTCAAGTACTTTTGTTCAGTCATTTGGCCTTTCTGGTGCTATGCGCTGGCTTCCATGATAGCTGTCCCACGTATGTGAAATCCTAATATGAATACTTGTAGCAAAAGGTTATACCCCCGACGTTTACACCGCCCAATGGGTTGAGGACATCTCGAATCCTCACGTCCGGTGAAATACCGCCCATGGAGAGAACCGTATCCAAGGTCAGGGGTTTGCCCGTGCTATCCACGCCACTGTCGATACTGACAAGTCGGTTCGCGTTACCAAGCTGCCATTGGTAATAGACGCGATCGATAAAGGCATGATGCATCCAGAATATTGGATCACTGGGACTCGACCAGACGTCTTGCATTACCCCTCCGATACCATTGTGGCCATAGCCATGCGGGCTGTGTGTGGTCATTAGCAAAGCTCGGCACAACACATAGGACATCATGCTCAACTCACCCGTACTCCAGACAGGTCTCAAAGTCTGCATACGCAGCTCTCGACAGGCAGTAGTTCACAAAGTTGGTGTTGCACTGTGCCGTGTTGGACTCTGTCACGCCTCGAGAGATGCAATGGGTAGTGAAGGATTGGCCCGGCCCAATGTGGGTAATCATTCCGGCAAAGGCTCCAGTGTTTATGCAGGAAGGGTTGCCATTGTTGAGGCCTGGCAACGGTCCAAAGTATGCCGAGTTGGTGAACATGTCCGACTGGGCAAAGTGTCCAGCATCCTTGGTCTCGTCCCACCAGGCAAAACCGCGATCAAACCCGCATTCGTTGCGCAAGATCTGCTCAAATGTCCACAGGAAATAGCGATGCCACAGCAGAAAGATGGCATTATTGTGTACGCTGGGCATGACACTCTGGTGCAATTGCACAAAGTCCTCCCACCGGTTCTTGGCTTGCGAGAACCTTCCTGATGGCCGTTTGTTGATGAGACATCTCATAGCCTGCATCAACGACACTCTTCGAGAGTCAGAGTATTGCCTCCATTCGAATCGATAACTCGGAGCACTCGCACAGGCAACTGAAGCGGCAGTCGCAGCTTTGTTGACTGTGGAGAAGAGGGAAACGCCAAACTTGGGAGCTGCCGATCCAGGAGCTGTTTCGTATGTCAAGTTTCCCACGGGCTTGGGCGGAAGTTGCTGGATATCACGGTCCAGACCTTGTTTGGCCTCGTCGAGTGAGACGACTCGGAACTTGGGAAAGACTGAGTCGGGCAGATTCGGCGCTGCTGGGCTTGGGCTGGTACTGGGGTCGGCTCGAGGTGCCACGACGGCGCCAGAGACTACTGACGCGGCCAAGACGAGCGAGAGCTTCATGATGACTGACTGTGGTGATTTCCTTGATTACAATTAGGGCTGGAAGCAGAAGTAACGAAGGAGGGTCTAGAAAGTAGGGACGACAATATGGGAGGATGGAAGCAGCCTCTGTCTATTCATGACAGTATTAAAGAGCTGTTTCATGATCTGGGATATCGCTCCTATTTCTACTTGAAGGTGGGCGGCACACCTCGCCGACGCCTCTTCATTACGTCCCGCGTGGAGATTGATTAGAGGACGCCAGGCAAAGTTCCTTATTCTGTTCTACCCTGACTGTCACCCGCCTGCCTAGTCTCTTGCTAGTGTCTAGCCTGGGACGGCATCTTTCTTCTAGACCTTGGACCTTCCAGGTTCCCAACGCTCGCTCGTATCCTCAGGTGTGAAAGCTGCGAACCTATTTTCCCTCGAGTTCAATTGCGCCTGCTTTCGCCTTCTATTGGTGGTTGCAACGGCAGCGTACAGCTGGGAAAGAAATAATAGTCATATGCACGGGGACAAATTAAGCTTCCTGTCTACTATGCGCCATTGCTCAATGGTCAGAAGGGGGCCCAAATGGCTCCAATGCCCAGCCCAAATGTGGCCAAACGGGCACGGTTGTACGACCGGATAATACCACGTCGACGCCGGCCTTTACCGCCAGTGTGGTAAATGGTAAGCGTCGATGGCATAACATTCATACCAGCAAAGGATCTCTCAGCTTGGACATTGCGAACAAACAAGGCTGAAGGCTGAAGTGATTGACAAAAGGGCGCCACAGATGCTTACCTATTCAATAGCTCTATGCGCGTAACCACTAAAACCCGGCTCCTGCCCTCGTATTCAATGACATGGCGTCAGATCAAATGCAGCAATGAATTGGACATACACAACAGCAAGCCGTCCGTCGTGCCGAGGCCTACAAGAACATGGCAGAGAAAGACTGGAGATAGTCTCCGAAACCCGAAGCTCGAGACTCGACACTCAATGATCAGGACTCACAGAGAGACGGTTGCAATTCTTTCTCTTTCCTCTCTTCTTTGTTCGCTCTTTGCAAGGTTCAATTGTCCTCATGGGTTACACAAAGATGCCAAGCTTTGCTCTTGTTTCTTCTTTTCGGAAATTATCCCGAACGATGGCGGGGCAGAAGCCAAGCGAACCCGCGCGCGCGAGCAAAACGGTGGCGCACGGCTCGTGGGAAGTCTCAATCATCTGTAATTGTTGATTCCTTCTTAATTCGGGGTTCTCGATTTTCTGGTTGGATGGCTACCGCGGCAACGTGCTCGGCGTTCATGTCCAACCTCTCGTCCATTTTCTTATCCTGAGCACTACACTGACTACTGTTTGATTTTGAGTTCTTCGGTTCTCCATCCGCCCCCATCGCCAAGTTCTTCTTCCCTTCCCATTCTCGCGAATTAGTCCACAAGCTTCGTGTTAGCGGTTGGTGATTGGGCGTTCATCAGACGACGACGACGACAAGTCCATCTCCCGCGTCGAATGGACGGAGCTCATGTATAACGCCAGCATAATGCCATTTAGACTCGTATTTTGAGACGAAAATTTGCCCTGATCGCGGATCAGCCGCCCCACGACGCTGTCTCTGATGATAGCGCACCACGGCTTAGTAGACGGGAAGTCCAGCAAGCACTTACGCGTTCTTCCTCTAGCAGCCAAATCAACCCCGAGGCGGTGGAGAACAAACAGGACGGCGAGATATACACCGGCAAGACCGACAGGCATTTCGGAAGCCAACATGGGTTCCATTCTGGATCAAGCACATGACGACCAAGGGCTAACGGACCATTTGATGCACCAAATCCCAACTCCTGAGCATTCCAACTTTGAGAGTGTATGTGGCTGGGCCATGAGGACAGTATATGGACACTGAGAGCAACAGAGAATAACAGTGAGTGTAGATTGTCAACCTCCTGATCGAGAGTCTAGCGTGGCTGGCAATGCGTGACACGTGGAATAGAAGCCGCACAAGGAGCCAGTGGCTGGAATGAAATCGAATTTCCGTCCCAAATTGGCTTCTTAGTGTGATCCGATTATCCCTCGTGGAAAAAGTGTCTTGTGGTAGGGCACTCGGCGGCATTCCCGCTGACTTGACGTGGCCTGCGGCTCCACGGAAACGTCATGTATACCATTTTCACGAGAGCTTGCAAGTTTTCTTCGAGAAGGGCGGCTCAATAATTGCAGGCCACAAGATCTAAACCTACGGTACTGCAGTGGTTGAATTGCACAACAGGCAACTAATGTCGTGCAAGTCTGCCCATATCGGATCACTTTTTCTTCGAGTGTCCCAGCTGGGTTGGGGAGATTTCCGGCATGAGAACTTGCCGGATCTAGTGACTTCTGATTATATTCCAATTTGGCACGCATCTAGGTGATCAGATGATTTTGCTTCTTCAGGACTACTCATGCCCAAGGTTGGCGCCGAATCAACGTTGCATCGCTCTTTGTTCTTTTGCTCAAAGCGAATCCTTTCATCACTCACGTTGATCTGTACCGTGTACCTTCTCTGAGATGGCTGAGTTGATTGATCTTTCTGCAGTGTCGCCCGACTTTGCCGAAGATATCTCCGAAGCCGATCGATCATGCCCGGTTGCTCGATGGGATGGATGAATAATACTCTCACAAGTCTTCGATATCAGAGCTGGCCACGCGTCCCCGGGCGGATCTTCTACCCCGTTTCTTGTTCTTGTCGCTCTCAACCTTGGAAAAGGAAGAAGAAGAGAGAAAACGACAAGAGTCGGCTACAGTCGCCGTGTTGCAATGGCCAATTCCAATCATGGAGATTAGGAGACAATTGAATCTCTTTCGCAACATGGGGCTCTGATCAAATCCCAACACAGTCATAAATTGAGATCATCGCCCAGGTTTGCCGCCACTTGCGATTATCATAATGGGTCTTTCAACAATCATCACTCCGGCCTCGAGCATGACCCGTCCGTGCTCAATCTGCGCATGTAACTAACAACATTCTTATAATCTTTCTGACACCAAGCCGGTACTTGTGCTGCTGTTAAGCTGCCAAGGCATGCGAGATGAATGCTGCCAGCAAAAGAATCTGCAATATCATGTATACCATGGACCCGGCGTCGGCAGGTCAAAGTGACGGGCACGCGAGACTTTCGACTTTGCAATCAGGTGCTAACCGGGGCTCGGAAGATGATTTCTCTCATGGCAAAGGAACCGCGACACACACGGGCTGGCTGAAATCCACGGTTCCTGGATTTATCTGGGGATGCGTGGCGTTCAGCCGCACCCAATTGCGCCGTGGTGATAAGCGACATTGCAGAAATGTGTCTCTCTCCATTTCGAGTCACACCGTTGGGAGTATGGAAACACGAGACTCTTGGCATGTCACCTGTCGTGTTTTGCTTGCTGGAGCATAAAGTCGAGGCTTGACACTCGCGGTATCGTTGCCGATTCGCTCTTCTCCGAGCTACCGGTTTGCGGTCAAAGAAAGCAAATATGCTACATGCAGAGCGCACCTGTTAAAGAAGTTTAAACGCAGTTCCTGAACATGATCAAATGGATTACATATCATGCAATGCGTCATCCACAGTTCACAAAATAGGTTGAGTACCGCGCGTGGGTTGCGCATGTCTCAAGACTAACGAAATCAAAAATATCCAAGCTGGCTATTCTTAGCTGTGTCACATCACTGTCTGCTTATTCCCGCCAAGCCTGCAATAATTGTCTGTTTCTTACATCCAGGCAAGGGAAGCGAGCAGCTAAAATAGCTTCCGTGTACCAAAGGTCATACGTGAATCAGAACATTCGAGCACTGGCAGCAACGCTTGGCATCAATACCTTTCATCATATTGCAGGACCAGAGCGGCTGCACGAGCCTTTTGGAAAAAGTTGATCTACATTTCGTCCCGGTCTGGAACCAGAGCATGTTCGCTTCGTGGATAAGTCCAATTATCGTTCATCATTATTACCTACTCATGCTTTACATGTTGGCCTTGAGGATCTTGAATGCATCCTCCCGGGCTCCCGCGTATCGCTGCTCAGCTGTCTTCCAGTTGATGACGTTCCAGATATTTTCGACGTAGGCTGCCTTGCCATTGAGATACTGGAGGTAGTAGGCGTGCTCCCACATGTCGACGCCGAAGAGCGGTGTGTCTCCAACCACGACGGCCTCTTGATTGGCGAGGGTGGCGATGCGCAGCTGGCCCGTACCGGCCTCCTTGACCAACCAGCCCCAGCCGCTGCCCTGGATGCCCAGCAGGGCTGCACCGAACGCCTTTTTGAAGCCGTCGAGGCTGCCCCAGGTGTCCTTGATGGCCGCGACCAGCTTGGGCGCCGCGTCGGGCTTGGAGTCGCTCGATGACGACGGGGCCAGGTTCTCCCAAAACAGCGCGTGGTTGATGTGGCCGCCGCCGTTGAAGCGGATCGCGGCGAGCTGGGCGGCCGAGTCCTCGAGCTTACCCTCCGACAGGGCCTTGGCCGAGACTTCTAGTGCCTTGTTGAGGTTTGTAATATAGGTCTGGTGGTGCTTGGAGTGGTGTAGCTCCATGATTTGCTTCGAGATGCTGGGTTCCAAGGCCTATCTCCAGTAGTCAGCCAGGCTCTGATGTGACAGGTGCCGTGTTCTTGTGACTCACATCGTATGCATATGGCAGAGGAGGGAGCTTGTATGTGGGAGACGACATCTTGCTACGCTGGCTTGGTGTCTGGTACTATTCTATTGTTGATTAGCCGAGGCGGTTTGTGTGTGTCGAATGGTGATGAGTCCAGAGAGTGAGTGGGAGTAACGAGGGGTAGGCAGACTTCTGCACACGACGACAGAACTGAAGGGTATCCTTTGGTATTTGAGGGATTTGTAAGGATCTGATCGATGGCATGATACGTCATGTTGGTTTAATCGTGCTGGCCAGGATGCGCCTACCACTGTGCAGCTATTTGCCGTGTCTACTACCTTGATGGCCGAGTTGACCATCAAGGTTCCACCTCCGTAACTGATACATTCTACATGTGTAGCTGCGAAGCACAGATGAATACTGTGGTATAAAGGCAGCATGGCGGCTTCTTTCATGATTGCTGTGTTGTCGCTGTGAATACGCGGTCGGTGCTGAGTGAGTACCTCCCTCAAACCAGCTCAAACTTGCTCATTGCGTTGATTGCGTGACGCTCCACAAGGGATCATCCGCCAAAGGGCTTTTGTGCATTGTCTGACTACACGGCGGGAGTGAAGCAATACTTCATCATAAAAGTAAGGCTCTCTTCCATAAAATACTGCGACTCGTTGCTGAATAAAGCGCCAGACAGCTCTTAAAGCACCGCTTGCTGTATGATAATTACCACCATCGTCGAGACAGTGCCCAAGGTAGCCAATCCTCCTCCGCTTTGACGCCTTACGGTCATTACATACACAATATAAAAATAATCCCTGATATTTCCGGAGAGAGAGAAAAAAAAGGCCCCAACATATCATGTGCTGCAATAGTCCGCGCAGTTCCCAAGGAGGAGCACTAGCAGTCCTAAGCCTTTCACACGATGCATTTGGCAGCCCCATCAGATCCAGAGTCCCCATCATGGCCGGGCGCCTATTATTCCATAATGAATCGGAAAGAGACTCTATATCGGCAGGTCTTGTCTCCTTGATACCAGATCAGAATCTGGGCTCCTCGGCTTTTGGCGATGACTGTATAATTGGCATCCAGTAAGTTGATGTGGCTCCGGTGATGACAAGTCGATTGCTTGCCTACTCTGCATATAAGTCAAATGATATCTCATACTTCTTTTCCGCAGCGAAACCGGAGACTTGACAACCTCGGCCTTCATCAGTCCATTCAAGCACAGGTTTGCCCTTCAGAGGTCACTTGACCATGATGCGGAAAGTTCTTCCAAGATGAAGGCGGCACTACCATTCCCCCTTGCTTTAAGTATTGGCGGAGAAGGGATCATTGGACGAAGAGTCACAATATGGAATCGCAACTCGATTACTCCGTTCGCCGAGGGTATCATTGGGTACAACTAGATTTGCGACCGGCAAACAACCATCTTCACTAATTAATGCATTCGGCTTTGTGGCGAGACATTGATTAGATGGCGGTCACCAAGAGCATCTGGAATGCTACTGCGTGTTTAGCGGTAACGTCCATGGAGGCGAGGCCCAGTCCTTCTTTGTCGGAACAGGGACTGGAATGAAAGCGGTCAATCCGATTGCGGACATGCAACTAAGACAGGTTTTGCTACATCAAGCAAGAACAAAGCATTTTCGGACCCCCAAAATACGGATCTTGTAATGAATGATAATTCCTATTGATTGAAATAATTACTGTTTCTGCCGTATCACATTTTCTTTTCAGTGGTCATTACAGCACCGTTTGGTCTTTACTTCTTGGCCCCTCACCGATTGACCCTGCTCCTTATTCCATCATTTATTCCCATTGCAAGACGTCTTCACTGAGAATGGATGAGCATGGAACCTATTCTAGTGGCAGCTACGACAGAGTGCCAGGCGCTGCACCCCTCAGCATGGAAATGTTTGTCGAGCGAAACGCAAATCTTTCAAGGGCCTACCATGGTTACAAAAAGGCACTGGAGGAAGATGCCGAACATCAATCCAACTCGTGGTACAATAATCTCTACAACACATTGAAACGACCAGCTCCTGGAACTAGCAAGACCAAGACGGCCGGCGTTGGATATATCACTGACGCGGGCAAGGTAAAGTGGGCAGAGCAAAAGAAGAAGGACGACGCGGAAGAAAAAAAGAGAGAGGATGAAGAAATCGAGACTAGAAGGAAGCAAAGGATAGAGAAGAAAAAGAAGGAAAAAGAGGAAAAGAAGAAGGCAAAAGAGGAGAGGAAGAAGAAGGCCGCAGAGGAGAAGAAAAAGAGAAAGGAACAGAAGGAGAAGGAGAGGAAGGAGAAGCAAGCAGCAGGGCAAACAGTAGAAAACGAGGAGGAAGAGGAGGAAGAGGAGGAAGAGGAAGCAGACAATGAGTCGGAGGAGTTGGAGGAGGAGGAAGTGGAAGAGAAGCGGAAGGTTGTGAGGAAAGGGCCCAAGCGAGTAAGGCTTGTACTGCCCGACGAGGAGTAATTCACCATTTTTACATTTGTAATTCACCTTGTTGGAACTGCCAGAAATATAAAATTGAAAATACGGACATGTTTCACCTGGAAATGAATTTGTTTGACTCTCTTCCAAAGCGATGACTCCAGGAGTCTTGAGTCAGTGCATATACCGGTGCTCATCACTATGAATAATGAGATGACTCCAATCTGGATGATGACTCCAACAGTATGTGTTTGTAAGCATCTCTGTCTTGGTATAAAAGACTGAACCATCCTACAACGACCCATACCTCTTCCTCCATCTCTTATTCTCATTCAATCTCTACTGCAAGGATGCACTCCTCGTCATAAGATGCCATTCGGCGCTGTCGACCTTTTTTCCCCAGCCTACGCATACGCTGAGCGTAGCTTTGGTAACCTGCAAGCCACGTTAACTAATACTTACGGCGAACTTTATGCCGATTTGCGCAAATACATTTGTTTTAGCGAGGTTGTTACAGGTATTTTATCTATAAGATCGGTCGCTAACACTTAGTTCACCAATCCTGACGCCGTAGTAACACACTACGAAAATATCAGAGAAACAAATTCACGCACTGCTACTCCCTTCCATACGAGACTGCCTATGTGGACAGTCAACTGGTATTCTTAGGACGTTGACCCGGATATATGATTCCTATTGCCATACCCGGTATCAAGGTGCTCGACACTTGGGGTAGTTGGCTTGTGATCTTCGAGGGCCTCGATGTTTCGCTTATTCCTAAAATCAGTAAGAGTAATACTCTGCCTCAAACATAGACCATCTACACCATGAACATGAAGTTTAAAGTTGTCCAACGCGCGCACGTTTGCGGATCCCGAGACCGAAGACAATGTCAACGTAGAAGCGTCGCACTTGAACCCGAGACGGACAAGCTTTGCCCTTCACTGCAATTTTTGCATCACCGGTGACTATGATCCGGACAAAGATCAGTCACCATTATTGATTTGCCAGTTCAAAAGCGCGTGTTTATGTTTTCATGGATTGGTCGAGAGCAACCGACACCCATGAGTTTGTTTGTCAGTAGATTCACCCTTGTTACTCTCAACTCTTGCTCACGAAGTGCGAAGCATTCAGCTGGCATTCACTTAATTTTTAATCGAATTTGGGAGAGAAATTATATTTAATCAATTCAAGAGAATTACTCTCGTCTTTTTATTTTTTCTCTCCTTTACCGCGACGAAAGCGGGTCAGCAAAGAACTCACGCTCTTCGATGAGCGCAACGTCAATTTCTTGTCCTCCTGACGAGGCGTACTGGCAGCGACGACTCCCTCAAGCTGACTGACTTCTTCGTCATAAGGCCCGCCCTGTTCGCGGTCCCGGGCCGCAACCAAATCCCGAGGTCCTCCGGCCGATGCCGAGTATAAGATGTTGGAGTGCTCTGGCACTCCCACAAAGGGATCGTGGGGCTGCTCCGCTGTCTCGCCGCCCTTGATTCCGCCGCTCTGATCACTGCGCAGAGCGCGCACGATCTCTTCCTCCGTCTCTCCACCGTAGGCCGAGCGGAGCTCCGCTATGGTGAAGCGGGAACAAAGTTTTGCAAAACTCCGTTGAGCGGCCGTACCGGGGCTCGGCACGTCTGGGCGATCCTTGGCCCAATCTTCAGCCCGATCTTCAACCCGATCTTCAGCCTGATCTTCAGACCGATTTGCAGCCTCGGGACTGCAAGGTAGCAGAGCCGGAGCCGTGGCAGACCGCGGCATGCGACTGGTAAGATCCCGGCCGCCGGGCCTCTCCGGATCGTAGGTCCGATTGAAGGCTTCCGCCCCTTCCGGAAACAGGAAGGCTTGCGTGCTTACCGAGGTCGGTGTTGATACGCGAGCTGTTAGGCCGGCGTGGGCAAAGAATTGACGAGGCCGGTGCAAGGCGAGGTCGTAGGGTCGCTGGTTTCGAAAGAAATTGTCACTGGAACTTCTCTCAAGAGCTTTTCTATTCTAGGGAAATTGCTCTGTATTCATTCTGCGACTATTTCCATAAATGCGGCCACCCGAATCTGCGCCATTACCACGTCCACCCGAAATGCCACATGCTCTTCTATCCTCATCTGTGAGGCTCCTATGCTGAACCTCGGTGTGGCCACAGGGCAGGGCCATCGTCGCCGTGCGAATTGTATCTGTGCTGCGGCGGACAGTGGGAATACGCCGGGGAGGCGTAGCTAGATAATAAGTCAGTACACTTGTGAAATACAGTGAATGTAAAGAAAGAAATTAATACTAACGGGCAATAGATCGTCGAGGCGGAGCCTCAGGAGTTCGAGCACTCAGCGGGCTTGATGCAATCTCTTCTTGACGTACAGGTCGAGTGCGCTGTCGCTCAATCTCGTGATCCAGCATCTCGTATAGCTGACGCTGAATATTGTTCTCCGGGGTGTTCTGCTGCTGAGAAACTGCAGTAGCCTGAGGAGTTACAGGACTGTGCTGATCACGGACGAAGGGGGATTGTGGAGTTGCAGGGCGACGATAACGATGACCAGAGATAGTCTGTGGAGTAGGAGGGCCCCTCTTGGGGGTAGTCTCATCTGTCTCTAGAACCTGTGAGAGACGAGTCTGGTCAGGACCACTGGCTGCATTGGCGACGGGCGGGATGTTACTGCGACCAAATTGAGGTCGCCTGGGCACTCTCGAAGAATGAAGGCCAGTGGAAGCAGCGGAATAACCAGGCCCAGCATCGGTAGCTCCAATGCTAGAGGTTCTTGAGTTCACAGCAGGCGGGATAGGCATCGGTACCTGGTGACGCTGTCGGATATAAGGACTGTTTGCATCATATCCGCGGGACAGGTCGTCTTGCAGCGTGGCTGCCTCTGAAGAATGAAGCCATTTTTTGTACGGCAGCGGGTGGTTCGATGTCTCCGCTGCTGCTGCTTTGAGATTGCCAAACGATCTGTTCGAGCTTCGATAAGAGCCACCAGCAAGACTTCCCAGCGAACGTGTCGCGATCTTGCGCAGTCTGGACGGCTCTGCTTGCTCGGGCTGTGGTTGAAGTACTTGTCGAGGCTTCGGCACGTGTCTCGAAATGGTAGGGCCCAGAGGGACTGTCTCTTCTGCCGATAGCTTCTGTTCGGACACCTGAGTCTCTTTGATAACCTCGATACGGCTTTGACTTGGGCGGGGGATATCCGCAGAAGGTCGATTGTACGACGCCTTCTCCGCGCGCTGTGCGAAACTCGGTTGATTCTGTTTGTTGGATGCAGTCGCCATGTCATTAATTGACATGGACGGCCGCAAAGGGCGCATACGGGGAGGGATGGCCGGAATACGAGAGGGAGCGTCTGGAGTGCTCGACTGAAGCTTGACTACCGGTGCGCGAGCAGGAAGCTCCGGGATCAGAGACCTAGAAGGCACTGGACGCGGAGAGTCCTCATGCTGAAGCTGAAAACTCTTTGCTGTTCGCAGGGCAGGACGACGAGGTGTAGATGGTGCAGGGATTGGCAACCCAGAGGACGTACCCGGTGCCGGAATTTGCGAGGCACGCGGCAAGACAGGCAAGTTGCGAGTAGATCCTCGCAAGTCTTGCTCGCTCCGCTGGTGTAGGCGAAGCGGCGCCACGGCTGGCACAAGAGGCATGGGGGGAATCACCTCCTTAGGCAGATTAGGGACCGGGTACGAAGGAGCGGGCGTCGGCGGAGGGTATCTCGGGAGTATAGGCAAATGAGAACGCTGCGACGTGACATTAGGTCTAGGTCGAGGCACTAGAGGAGGTATTGTTACCATGACATGTTGCTCGCCAATTTCACCCATAGTTGGCGACTCAGCACGGGGCATGACCTCTTGTTGGCGAGATTGCCCATTGTCCGTCACTTGCTCATTACGCTGCTTGTTAATGAGCAAGCTGAAAATAGATGAGACCTCGACGTCATCATCGACGTAATCTTCGGTTTGCTGGTTTGTGTCATTGCTTTCGGTTCTCTCCGCTTGATCGGTTTGGTTATCTCTTGCTTCGATGTGAGTGTCAATGCTTGTTTGCTCGTCTGCTACGCTCGTGTTGGATACGTTGACGATGATGCTGTCCTGGTCATTAGAAACGGTGTTGGATTCGTCAGCAATGATGGCGCTTTGTTCATCTGCAATGATGGTACTGTTGTCATCATTGGACACAGTGTTTTCTCCGTCTGCGGTAGTGGTTCTCTGCGAGTCGGCGGTTATGACACTATTGTCTTTGTCAGAAACATCATCGCTTTGCTCAGCTGCAGTAGCATCTTGCAGGTCATTGTCGCCAATAACGTCCTGCTCATCAGCATTATGGCAGCCTTGTTCATCAGCGTCAGGATAACACTGCTCAACAATGACGGTGTCACTCTTCTGTGCGTCAATTTCGATACCCTCTGTGACTTCATCCGTTGTCTCAACCTTTTCTTGGTCAGCAGTCGGAATAATGATTGACTCATTGTTAGCTGAGTCGCTCTGGGATTCCCTGTCGGGCTCATGTGCTGCCAAGACTTCGGGAGGTGACGATAGAGATATCGAACCGGAGGATTCATCGACAGCCGGCACCTCTGGAGCTTCTCCATCGTCTGCGAATATGCTGCTGAAACGGCTTGCTGATAGCTCAAAGTCAAACTCGGGAAGAATGAAGCTGTGGGAAGTATCTTCACCGGACTCTGGCTGTGCATCACCTGAATCTGATTCGCTGCTGAAAGATGTCTCGCCGGGGTCTTCTGTGCGATCCACATCTTCTTTGTCTTCATCATTGTCTTGAACATTGCTTCGGTTGTGATCTTCATGCTGGTCTTGGATCTCATCTGCACCATCGTCGCTCTGCTGACCTTGGTCGTGATCCTCATCTTGTTTACCTTGTATCTTGCTTTCATCGTCTGACGCGACGGCGCAGCCTTCACTATTGGCAAGCATGTCCTTTGAAGCGCTCGATCCCGCGGGAGTAATGTGAAAGATCTTATCCTCCTCGCTGAAATGGACAGACTTGGTTGAAGCACGGCGTCGTTTACTTGGAGATGTCAGTATTTCACCCACTGGAAAAGTGGGCTTCTCAATGATTGAGGACGGGGATTCTTCGACGATTGGAGATGAAGATCTTTCGGCGATTGGTGACAAGGGCTTATCAACCTTAGCCACCATGTCTGCAGAGATTTCTCGAGCGACTGGCATGGCCTGACCTCTGAAAATTGCCTCAGCCATGTTGTTCAGATTGACATCAAGTCCTGGATGAAATTGAACTTGAAAGGTAGCAACGCTGTCAGGGGAATCTCTGGCCATCTCTCTGACAGGTCTACTGATCAATATGTTATCAGGCAACTCTGAAAGACGCAGGCTGACTGTCGCTATACCGCTGCTGGGTAGGTCCTTGTCCATGATGGCCGACAAACGGCTGTGTACCTTGATTGGGTTATTGACATCACGCATGCGCTCACGTGTAGCCCTGGCTGCACGCTGGTGGACTGTCGACTCATTTCCCAGAGGACTGATGGGCGATGATGTGACGGGGCTGGATGGAGATGCTTCAGCACCAGCAGTCTTACTTCGGTGGCGGCCAGCTCGTTTCTTGCCTTTGTCTGTCTTGGACTTGTCTACTGAGTGAACTGAAGTTGTTGGCGAGTGTCCATGATCCGAAACAAAGGACAAGTTTGGTCGACTTTGGTTGGAATGGCCATAGAGACTAATGTTTGAGCGGCTCTCATTGGACTGGCGGAAGAGGCTGAAACTCGGTCGGCTACGATTTGACTGTTGATAAAGGCCACCAGCACGGGTCGTGTTGTCTGGGTCAGAGGAGCCTGAGTTTCTCTCAGTGTTTGTTGGTGTCTGGCTTGGCTGGTCTGTGTACGTGTTGGTTAGATCAGTCAATGAAGGCACCTGTGAATACTTACATGGCTCTTTAAGAAAGCTCTCAGCCTGATTGAGGTACTTGAACCCCGTCATCTTCACAGAAGAGTGTCTTGCTCCACATTGACATGAAATGATTTGTAACTGTGATCCGCTGTGCAAGTCTTGTCAAGATTGTATGATGTCGAGGTTTGCGATAACCAAATGTCGGTGTTCAAGAAAAGCCAAATATGGAATCGACGATCCTATAATGCTTTCTTACTGTCAGAATAAGTCTACTGGTGGGTTCATCGCCGACTGCTGTGAGGTCTTGTAGAAATTGCTTACGCATTTGACGGTCCTGGGTCTTTGCGAAATATTGAAGTTGCGGAAAGGCTCAGATCAGACTATCGAAATGGATCTTGCCAAAAATTTTAATGGTTTGGATTGAAGACCAAGAGACAGTGCCAAATGTCATTCATCAAAGTGCCTCAAGAGAAGGAATCGAGAAGAGCTCTTGGGCGACAAGTTAGCAAAGCTTGAAGGCAAGGACGAATTCGAGAAGCACAGGGTAATGAAAAATACAACAAGCGCGCCGCTTTATCAAGGAGTTGAATCGTAGAAAACACTTACCGATTAATGATCTGACGGTTTGAGCGCGACAAGATAATCAAGTAGCGACGATCTCCAGTCCGAAGCTCTCCATGTAGCTGCGTCGAGGACGTGTTAGCAAACAGGTTTTGGCATGGGAAATGGACTTGTCGCCGTAGCCAAAACAAGTACCTTTTTCTGCTGGATGAAGAATAGAAAGTCGCAATCACTCGAACCCGATTGGAGTGAAGACCCAAGAGCAGGGCAAAGCAGAAGATAGCTGATGGCGGCGGCGAAATCGAATGGTTTGATTCTCGATTTCGAAGATTTGTCGCGGGGTGTGAGTAAACAGCAAGGAAGGAACACGAAATTGTGCCCGGCGTGAAAACAAGGTAACAGGTCGTGAGGAAAGTGAAGAGAGATTTTGTTGAATGCGGAAGCGAACAACAATGGATTTGAGGAATGCGACCGCAAAGGTCGAGAGAAACTTGTCGTTGATGGCCCTCAAGTTTTGCAATGGAAGGAAGGAAATGAAAAAAGGATGATGGGATTGAAGAGTGTTGTTCTGGCCACGAAGAGAAAGTTGCTGTGCTCGTTTACAGCTTAGGAAGATATCTGCCTGAGCAAGGCGGGCCTCGCGGGGGTTTCTCTGTTTGAAAACAATCCAGCTGTAGATCATAGCAGGAGACAGTTGGGCGAGATGCGATTGTTGCGAGGCGTCACTTGGACAACAATCGCCAGCAGGAACGCGAACATCAAGGCAGAACGACGCGGCGTGCAAACGACAGGGCATAATCACACGGAAAAGCACAAAAACACCGAAACAATCAACCTTGATGGCTTTTCACGACTGATTTTATTTCTCATTCATTCAGTCGCGTACTATCAAGAGCAACTTGTATTGCTGATCTCAGTGATTTCATTCCACCACACTGCACGCAGTAGAGAGATGAACGCATCTGCACATTGTTCACGATACTTATTGTGATTACTAGACTAAAATTGAATGGAAGAGAGAATCGAGCGTAATTTTCTCTCGAAGAAAGCCAGTTACATAGTGAAATAACATAATTGTTGCGGCCAACCTTGAAAATCAATGGGCAGTCTACAGACAGGCGCAAGTATGTTGTTGCACAGAAGTAAATGCTGCGATACTGTCTTGAGGCTTCTAGAGCACGCCACAGAGAAACTTGGAAATGTGGGTTCTACACTCTGCACACTACATGTCCCTAATATTGCCGTGTACTCTTCCATCTGTTGCTTATTATTGGCGGAATGTCGCGTGGATGCATTCCAATACTACGTGCACCTGGTTTGGTCCTTTGCAATTGTCATGTAGAGTCACAAATATTGTGAAATGGATTTTGAAGATTTGACCACTCATACGCTGGGCTTGCCACAGATTTGACAAAGCAATGCAATACTGCACATTGTTATAGACTTGTCGGTCAGTATAAGTGTGGAAAAAACAACCAATGAGCGGAAAGTCGATGACTAGAAGAGCAACAAGGAATAATGTCACGGGCCATTTAGAGCTGCCAGCTGGCAGGTTCTCGGCAATTGTCGCCAAGCCAGCATTTGGCCAGCTGGAAAGCCAAGAGCGCGCCAGCCACGCCAAGCCGAACCCGTCGTCGTAATTCATAGGATCGGTTGGATCCCTTTGTGGCTTGGTCGCGCCGAAAGAGGGCACCGCTGGAAATTTGGGCAAGGGGCGGCGGCCTCCTGACAAAACACGTATCAGTCTCTCTCTTTTTTTCTCAAAGATCAATTTCAGTATCTCTCAAAACAGATAAAGGAACAGTAGAGAAAAGGTGCCCTTCCACCCCCCAAAAGCTTCAACCCAAAAAAGAGCCACAGATGAGCAATTGCAGCACGTGATTCGAGCATGCTGCTGGCGATCAAGGGGAGTCGGCCGGGGGCCTCCAGAGTTGGGGGCCCGTTGATTCGCCGTTGGACGCGACACGGCTCAGGCTGGCCCCAGCCCTACTACCACATGCCGGTTAGCCGGTCAGCAGCCAGAACACCACAGCAGCGCCGTCATTTCTCGCCTACGACGGCATCTCGCCAGTATGAGCAGCCGCACCCAGACTCGGGAGCCGGCAACGGTGGTGGCGCCGGCCAGGGAAAAGCCGGCGGCACCAATGGCGGTACCAATTCGGATCCGTCGCTCCTGGCCCGGATGCTCGAGTCTGCCGCCACCACCCTAGCCTCCGTCTTGGTCTTGGGCGCTGGGTTCGCCGCCGCCGGATACGTTTACCACAAATTCTACAAGGCTCTGCAGCTCAAGAAGATTGAAAATGCCTTCAAGCCCGGCGATCCGGTGCTCGTGCTCGCTGCCGTCGCCAAGTCACTCCCCGACGAGGATGATTCGGACCATTGGATCCAGCGCGCCGAACAATCCAAGATTGATGCCATTGTGACTGGACATTCCAAGGGACATTACCACCTCATCATGGGCGAAAAGGGCAGCGGCAAGAGCTCCATGCTCCTCGAGGCCATGCGCAAGATTGACGGCGATGGCTGTGCCATGTTTGAGGCGCATGCCGATCTCGAGATATTCCGGATCCGCTTGGGAAAGGCGCTCGACTACGAGTTTCGTAAGTACATTTTCAAGTTTTGAATGCCTGAACATGATCAATCTCGAATTGAGCTGTCATGATGCTGTGCAGCACAGTCTCATGTGGAGCGTTGATTATCATTATATTATCCCACCCGGCCCACTTTGTGTACTGTGGAACTACTCGGCAACATGGCACTTTTGAGATCAGATCTGACACATTGGGCGCTTGCGAAGCGCCGCATTTGTGGTTGTGTCCAGTCCTTGATTCAATGTCTTGTCTGGGCGGAACATTTTGTCTCGTTGTCATCCTTGCGGCTGAATCAAGGGCAATCAACAGACAGGGTGCAAGGATGATGCCAATTGCACAAGCCACATGGGGCAATATCTCTTGTCGCTCACTGCACCAATATCCAGCTGTCTGAATAGCATAGATCTTCTATCATTCCACCTTCTAACTGACATGTGCAGACGAGGACTATATTGGAGGCTATTTCAGTGAGCGAGGGCCAAGAGACACTACCGCGTTGCTCGACATTGAGCGAGCATTGAATAAACTTGAAAAGGTGGCTTTGAAGAATCGTGCAGATAGGGGGAAGCCCTTGGTCATCATTGTCAACCAATGCCACCTGATTCGAGACGACGAAGATGGCAAGGACTTGCTGGAACTCTTGCAACAGAGAGCTGAGCAGTGGGCTGCCTCCAACTTGGTCACCATGGTCTTTAATTCGGATGACTACTGGGTATACGAGCGGTTCAAGCAGCTGGCCACGCGAATGGAGGTTTTGGCCGTACATGACTTGCCAAAATCTCAAGCATTGACGGCCCTGAAGAGATACCGCCAGCGTTATTTCCAGGAGGATGTGCCCAAGGCCGACCTTGAAAAGGTTTATGATCTTGTCGGCGGCAGACTATCCTTTTTGAATCGTGTGGCCAAATCCGCTAACATGATCAAGACGTGTGATCAGATCAAGGAGATTGAAAAGACGTGGTTCCTCAACCAGTGCTGGATTCTTGGCAGTGAAATGGACGACGATGTGATGGACCAGCAGAAGTGGGCTGTAAGTCTTGATTTTTAATTCATGTCCCAGAAGATTCCAATCTACCGAGTTCCATGGGCATATACTGACTCGAAAGTAGGCGGCAGCAATGGTGCTTGCGCTGGCTCTCGTCGACAAGGAGGAAGAGATGGACCATACCTACGATGCTGTGACCGGACATGTCCTACCAACGTATCCCATGCACATTGCACAACAGATCATGACGCGAGCCGACTTCATAAGAGATCTCGACCGCCTCAATCTATTCACGATTACGAGCACCGCTCAAGTACGAGCTAGTTCGGTGCCCATGCATCGCGCATTCCGGGAGATTTGCGCCGAACCTGGATTTCGCCAGTTCCTCGAGGATACAAACGAGCGCATTGCTGCTATCGAGTCTCTCGGACGTACCAGAGAACTCGTGGCAAAGGATCTTGTTCTGGGAGGAAAGTATGAGATTTCCAAAGGATGGTCAGGCAAGATCAATGTGGTACTCAAGGAGCAAGAAGAGAAGAAGGAAGATGGCAATGACGACTAAATATTGTCCAAATGCCTGTCCTGGGCGGGGCAATACGATCAGCAGAGGATTGGTGTCACTGCTCATCGTTGTGCACGCCAACATGGTCTATTCGCATATGGCAAGCAGCTTCCTGACGTTGAGACATGCGAGGAAGACTGGCACTGGAAATGATTGTATCATATTATGATTGTGGAGCTGTAAGAGTAGATGTACATTAGACCGAGAATAGGTGGCAACGCCGTGGCAAGGCAGGAAGCGGATACGTCCGGGGCCAGGACCGGGGTTTGGCCCATCTGTCATGGACTGACAATATTTCCTTTTGTCCTTGAATACATGCCAACAATCTGGGCTAGTAATTCTGTATAGTACATTGTTGTACATGGACGGCTTCTATAATTGCTTCCAGATGACAATTCAAAAGGTTTCACGAGCCTGGAAATATAGTAGGAAAGTTGAGAAAAAATAAATAAAGAATTAACGGTTTCGAAATTGCAGCATCGAAATTCAACTCGTATGTTATCAAATGATCGAATGTGAGAGGGTGCATTCTGATTGATATAAGCGAACATGATGGCGAATAGTGATTGCTTGGGACCACGATACCCTGCACCTGCAGCAAGGGTTGCATTCAAGTATCGAATGATCTTACTCGTGCATAGCAAGAGGGCATAGGCTTGAGAAACTGCTCAATTATGCGAGCATAACAGGTGTTAAGAGCCAAACGAAATTTTCAGCTGGTGATGACATGCTCAAGTTTTCATTCTTCAACACAACGTTACTGGCGGGCCGGCCCGTTGTCATACAATTGGTGAATGGAAAATAGTCCATTCATGTGTAGGTTCGCTCCGGAAGATGAGCACGGAAAAATACCATATTACGCATGGAATTCATATACTATTGACTAGATCTAGATACTAGTTACCGTGCTAGTGATCCCAGTCTATCAGCCAATATAGATAAAGAATTCAAGATACAGCCCGTGACCAATACGATTGACTGACAATATGACAATAAAATTCGGTCGAGGGCCACTGAAAAGGAACTCGCATGCGAGGTGGTCCTGGTGGTTCGGTGACGGCGCACTCCGCTTGGTGCTCAGTGGCCTCGGGAATGCGTGAAAAATTTCAAATCGGACCGCTTTGGGGCAATTCTCTTAGTCAAGCACAGCGCACAATTGGCCAGCGGCCTGGAAATAGTGGGTGCGGCTCCCCAAGAGGCTCCGTTTTTAGCCGTTGGAGCGAACAGAGCCGCGCTGCTGCAAGGGGCCTCGTCTTTTTTGGTGAGATTCCCAGTGGTTTTTGGTCCTGTCTGGCTTAACGATCTGCCACTGTCGACTTGCTGGTGCCAAGATAGTACGGAACTTCTTTACTGCTAACGGACCTCTGGAACTAACAGAGAGGAAAAAAAAATCTTGCCCACTACCGGAGCTACCAACCGTCTAGCACAAACCGCAGCACAATTGCCCATTTCCTTGAAACCATGGCCACCGCGAAAGAAAATTTTCGTAATGGCAACGTCTGGAATGGAGCCCTCCAGAACGCCGGAGCTGATGTGGGTAACATGATGGAAGGTAGGTAATGCGCGCGTCGAGTCACCAAAAGCAGATGGGATGTGCTCGTCGTCGGAGCTTAAAAAGCTTTTCGGCGCGCTGCTTCTTGAGCTCCTGAGCTCTCGACGTGTTGTTCTGATATGTTGTATTGACTCAAGACAAAACTCTACTTGCGTGGACGACAAGCAGCATTTGTTGCGGACTTGGGCACATCGTGACAGTCAGTCAGCTTATTGTTGAGACTCACTCACGACCTTGCCTTTTTTCCCCCCTCCCCAAGGACCCGTCCACCGACCCAGAAAGGGATAATAAAAGAGATAAATCAGAAACCAGATATCCGCTGCAATGGAGAACACGACGGAAAAGTCGACTGGTCTCGAGATCAAGCCGGCACACGACAACACCGACTCGTCGCTCAACGGCTCCAAGCACGATGTCGAGGCCGCCGACACCCAACTGAAGCGCAGCCTTTCGGCTCACCACCTGCAGTTCCTCGCCATCGGAGGCACGATAGGCACCGGTCTGTTCCTGGGCAGTGGTACCGCCCTCGCGACCGCCGGCCCTGTCAGCACCCTCATTGCCTTTATCTTTGTCGGCACCATTGTCTACTCCGTCATGGTCTCCCTCGGCGAAATGGCCACCTTCATCCCTGTGCCCGGCTCCTTCACCGTCTACGCCTCCCGCTTCGTCGACCCGTCTCTGGGTTTTGCCATGGGCTGGATCTACTGGTTCAGTTGGGCCATGACGTTTGCCGTCGAGCTGACAGCTGCCGGTATCATTATTCAGTATTGGGACGCTAGTTTGAATATTGGAATCTTTATTGCCGTCTTCTGGGTTGTTTTCACCGCCATTAACCTGCTGCCCGTCAGATGGTTTGGTGAGATTGAAATGTACCTCTCCAGTATCAAAGTCATTACCATTATTGGCTTTGTCATTTTTGCTATTTGCATCGATGCCGGCGCTGGAAAAGAGGGCTACGTTGGTTTCCACAACTGGGTGCACCCGGGAGCCTTTGCAGGATCCATGGTCACTGGCCCGGTGGCCAAGTTTGTCGGCTTCTGGTCCGTCCTGGTCACGGCCGGATTCAGCTACCAGGGTGCAGAGCTCGTTGGTGTGGGAGCCGGCGAGACGGCCGATCCGGTCAAGGCAGTTCCTTCGGCCATTCGCTGGACCTTTTGGGGCATTCTCAGCCTGTTTGTCTCCACCATCTTCTTCATTGGCCTGCTGGTGCCGTACGACAATGACGCCCTGACGACGGGCACGGATAACGCCTCGTCATCGCCCTTGGTCATTGCCTGCAACCTGGCCGGCGTCTCGGTTCTACCCGACATCATCAATGCCGTTCTCCTGACAGCCGTCCTCTCGGCCGCCCAGTCCAACGTCTACTCGGGCAGCCGCATCCTGGTCGCCCTCGCCGATGAGAAGCACATTCCCAAGTGGATGACCAAGACCAACAAGCACGGCACTCCCTACATTGCTGTCATGTGCACCTCGACATTTGGTCTGCTGGCCTTCCTCAACCTGTCCGACGATGGCAGCGAGGCTTTTGACTGGTTCATGAACATTACCTCGATTGCCGGTTTCATCACCTGGTCGTGCATCAGCATCTGCCACCTGCGATTCATGAAGGCGGCCAAGTTCCAGGGCATCCCGCGCAGCCAGCTGCCTTACCGGGCGCCCATTGAGCCCTACCTGGCGTGGTACGGACTCTTCTTTTGCGTGCTCATCCTGCTGACCAACGGCTTCACTGTCTTTATTGAGTGGGACACGAGTGATTTCTTCACAGCCTACGTCAGTCTGATTCTGTTCGTAGTGCTCTATGCCGGCCACAAGCTCATTTACAGGACAAGCTTTGTCAAGTTGGCCGACGTGGACCTGGTCCGGGGCCGTATGGACCTCTGAGATGACGACGATGAGATGAGATAGATGACCAACACCCCGCGTCTAGTGTAATTCTTGTATATTTTTGATTTGATGAAAGAAAGAAAAACATGTCTTGGAATTTGAAATTCCGTGCATATAGCTCCAAAGTGTAAAATATAACCAAATTAATTGATGATTCACCCACGTAGTACAAAAAAAAAAGTGCCTCACCTAGTAAACTCTATGCCCGGCACATTTGGCGCCGTTGACACGTGCGCAATGCACACCATCCCATCCGCTTTTGCTGGAGATCCCCGCGGCCGCTTCTGCTCGGGTCTGGTGGATATCTCAAGTGTGTGGAGTGATTCGACCGTGCGGGTGACAGTTGTTACTCCTCCCCCTTGCAGACAAGGCTCCAGTGTATACTCCAGTACGGAATAGATTCCAGTGGCAATTATGGTGAGTTGTCATAGTAGGGGCCGTTTTTCTCTTGCTGAATTTTTGACGTATTTGGTAGGTATACACTGTCAAAGCAAAAAAAAAAAAAAAAAAAAAAAAAAAACCTTAGGACTAATCATGCCCAGACGTGGCTGTTCCCGTGGTTGCGTTTCCAAATTTCCGGTCTTGTTACTGTGACCAAATCTTAAAACACACGATCATGTCGGCAGGGAAATTGATGTATACACTGCAATGAAATGCGTGTAAATGAGTCAAAAGTGTAAAAATGTGTAAATAAATAAAAGCATGTTATTTGTGGTATCTTTGTGTGCGGATGCTAATATGCATCCTTTCCCCCGCCCTGGCTCCTCCCCCCGTCCAACGCCGTATGTATGTATGTTGAAACTCAATGAAGAGCTGTTGTATTTCTATGCCCTGTATGTATGTATGTATGGGTATGCACATGATTGCTCACTTCCTTATGTAGCGCCCTATTAATTTCAACAGTAAAGGAGGAAATTTGTCGTCAAAATCATGATTCGTCGTAAAATTGCGAGTATAATTGTGTGACTCGTATTTTTTTGTTTGTGGTGATTGTTTGTGCTTTTTCGTGTTTTTTAAGGTGTATATGGTGGAAATTGGCGGCTAAAATGTCCTTGTCTTAGACAACCTCTTTCATGGAAGCGTGCTTTGCCATGAGGTCGGAACTCTGTCTGGATCCCCTCGGCGATGCCACGGGAGAGTTGGCCGGTGATTCTATGGGGGAGTTTGCCCAGTCCGTCTCAACCGAGCCTCTCGGGGGGTATGGGTATTTCTCCGACGGCCACAGTTGCTGCTGCTCCTTGGACTTGTTTGTTCGCCACCTCGAGGGGATTAGGCGTGGGATAAAGGTGTTCCAGCCCAGGGCGAGGGTGAGAATTCCACCGCCGAGGACGATGACCAGAACAATGACAACCACAACAGTGGTGATTAAGCTGCTCATTTTGACGGGTTTAGAAGAGACGACCAGAGTATGTGTGTGCCTTCTTGTTGGTTATGGTGGTGGAGAGGTTGGCTGGCGTGTATGCTGATTGGCTACTCTATAGTGGTAGTAGTTGTGGTAGTAGTGTATGATCGAGGGTTGAATAAGCGACTGGTGAGTAACTGGCCGTGATGCAGCACTGTGACAAGACGTGACGAACGACGTTGCAACGAGCGGTCCTGGGTGGTGGTTTATAAAATAGACAGCCGAAAGAAAGCAGACAGATAGACAAACAGAAACACCACTTGATGATTGAACCCTTTAATAAACTAAGGTTAGGACCCTGAAAAAAAAAAGTTGTCGGATCTCACGGGAGGGCGGTCTGTCAATTATACCCAAGTCATGTAACTTTCCGAGAGACCGCCATTGGTACCTCCCAAGCCAACGATAGGAGACGATTTACTCGCGCGTGTGTCATTCATGACAGCTAGGATAGAAAAAGAGGAGAGTAGCTCCTCCCGGCCCCACGAAAACGTCTTATTTGCACTTTGAACGTCATGCCCCCCCAGCGGGCTGGCGTCGCCGTAAGTAGTAGTACGTGTAATGTGCGGTGGTGCTTCTGCTACAGTACTACTGCTCTACTTGACTGGTGCTGCCGCTGCGGCTGCTGGGCTGCGAGTGTGTGGTCAGCGAGCGCATCAGATGTTGGTACTTACGCAAGCCCTCTGGGTCTGGATCAGCTCCAGGGTATGGCATCAGCGGTGCTTGTGCACAAGACAGAGCAATGGTTGGAGGAGCGGCACGCAAGTAGAGACAGCCCAGATCGATCGTGGGCCCAAGGTGCCCAGGGTCCTGGCTTCGATAGAGCGACAGAAAACAGAAATTCTGGGTGCCAAAGGATGCTAGCCATTTTGCTACAGGTCTGCTAGGCCCCAGAGCGGTTTGGGCTGTCTCGCGGAGGGCCGGAGCGCGAGGTATTCTGCAAGTGCGTGCGCTAGAGCAAGCCGCCTCCCATCGCCAATCTTTTTTTTTTCTTTCTCCCTATGGTGTCTGTCGGGTGCCGATGACATAAACACAGCACTGAGGGCTGAGAGACCAGACGAAAAAAATCTAGCCCTAGGTAAGTTAAGGAGAGAGATCCCGCCCACTGTCGTCATCATTCGATACCATCTAGAAGCACAAGATTGATATGATCGTTTCAGCTTGGCATCTGCTTAGCATTATCTACCATCCATTAAAGTGCATGTCCTCATGATCGCTTTTTTTAGTGAATCAAGTTTTTCGGGAATTGCTATACTAGGCGGCATCGTGCATAAGGCGTCTGGCGTTTGTACTGGATTTCTTGGTACGGAAAGGCGGCATTAGGACGAGGCCGAGGTATCCGACCGCAATCGTAGGATTTGACATTTGTTGGTTGACGGCTCTCACGGCTGGGATCCTATCAGCAAGAGGCGCACCCACTGGAATTATTTAGTTGAGCATCAGTGGATATGAATGGGGAAGGGAAGATGCAAATTCTTTCATTTCCACTGGTCTTGGAGTTGCAGAGATGCCCAAGATGCCGTGTCGCAATTGCGCGTCGCCGAAAGCGAAGGAGGGGGAAGCCTGCACTTGCAGCAAGAGGTTTTACAGCTTATCCCCGATGTTATGGAGTCTCGGTCACTAGGTAGGTACGAGTCTCTTTTCTACACAGTAAGTGCCACTGGTGCTTGACCGCAATATTTAACCTAGCGGGGAATGGGGAATGGAGTGATTGATAACCACCCTGCCACCCGAACTACCTGCACTGCCCGCTGAAAGTCCAGGTGCCAGTGCGAGACACCGACAATGCCCGTAAGCCCGTTCACATACGAGGTAATATGGTGGCTGGCTGGTTGTTGGCTTACTATGTGCAATTGGTTTAGTTGTCCATTACCCAAAAACTTGGCCAATGGTCTCACACTCTTTTTTTCATTCCTCTATTCGCTTGGCTATTCTGTATGCATCGTGATGGTTTCGCTTTCGCTATTCTTGCCAAGACGACTTCTTCCCAGCTGGGTAATCTTCTATGGCCTAGGTAGGCAGTCTAATGCAGCCTCGCCAACCTGCCACTTTTTTTTTTTATCAATCTCGTCTTTTCCCCCCTGCCCCCCCTCACCAATATTTTGTCTTTTCGTCTTTGCATTCGTACCATCAATGTCGCTGCTCGCAAACTCGGTCTTTGAACTTTTCAATGATCGACAGCCAAAGACTCGCGTCCCAACACGCCAGCGACCCCAGCGGCACACATAGGCTCACCGTTTGATCCACGTGCAGCCGTGGACCGGAGCCCCTTTTTTTTTACGCGTGGATCTGTGAAATATATCCATCTAGCTACTCACTAGAAGATGAATGGAAGAAATTTGTGCTCGTATTGAGTCTTGATAGCCTCAGATCAAGATTAACTATCAGACGGATGGTAGTAATAGTCAACTATTCCCAGTCGACATTTGCCGGTTGGATGGGTGATGGAATCCATCTACTCTGAAGAGAGTCAATTGTTCGTGCCTGACTTGGGCGGGGATAACCCGTCGGAGGCCACCCATCCACCCAACCACTTAAACTACCTTCCGTCGGCCTTGACAAATGGTTTTCGGGGTCAACGATCGCCTTGCAAAACCTTTGGATTGAATTCATCTCGAGGGAAACGCGACACCGAGATTGCGGCAATCGCGATCAAGGCCAATGTCAAACAACAATCTTTTGTTTTCTTTTCTTTTTTCCCCGTCCCTTGCTTGATCGCTCTCCTCCTTGTTCAATTTTTTGAGGCTCTTCTTTTTGATGCACTGATGATCCTTGTGATCGACAATCTCCTATTACGACATTGCCATCCCGTTCAGAAGATCAGATCCTGCTAACCCCGTACTACCTAGGTTGGCCGTGACTAGCAGAGAAGGGCATAGAAAAAGGCTTGATGATTTCCCAATCTGGCGCCGCGGGTTTTCAGCTCTAAAGCAGCTGAGCAGTTGAGTGATCTCATACACGACCCACATTGCCTATCCGGTCTCTCTGCCATACCTACACGGGCTATACTACCCGCACCGTCCCCAAATCAGGGCCAGTCGAGACCGCGATAGTGCAGCAAAGTGCATTGCATCTGCAGCTGTCAAGAGGCATCACCATTCATCACGTCACGCTGATAGACATACCTGTGTTGATCATGATATTCAAAAGAACGCAGATTGAATGACCGATAACAAAATAAAAAACAGGTTTGCGACCTTGAAGTGGTGACGGCATATTCCAATACCCCTTTCACAACTCCTTTCCTTTTCCTCTTGCAACATGGCCCGTATTAGCCATGATCTCTGTTCAGACACTGCACGAACTTGCAATCTGTGATGGTCAAAAGTTACAGAAGCAGCATTCGCCACGCCATGGGTAAGACAAATGCTCATCTGTCCGGTGGTCAATCACATCTCTCATCACGGTCATGATATCCACCAGTAATTGTACGGCGCAACAATCATGTCACATTGCCTATTCAGTGTTCTGGAGTCTTGGGCCAGTCACTGGACGCATCACCCGACTCAAGTTGCTCTCCATTGGCCCCTCCCAACTTTGCCGCACGGAAGTGTACTGCGTCTCTCAGACTACGCACCATGAGCAGAATACGGGAATGTTCAGATTTTGCTGCGATGGCCCGTTATTCTAAAGGTAGAGGCCGCGTAACTAGAAGAGACAGAAGAAGGAAAATGGAAAAGATTCCATCATCTTCTAACCCGGCATCAAAGATTGCATGGCAACTGGATGACGGCGGTCCGTTGGGTGGCGGCTGCCAAGCGCCCCGAGTTAATTGTCGCCGTGTCTCAGGTCCCTGTCGGCGCTGCCCTGGTCCTTTATTCAGCATATTTCCGGACACGATGAGAGCACACAAACGTCAAGCACTACCACCTACAAAACTCTACCAACAATGGTCCCGTGTCCACTGCAACTCCAACTTTGTAGTTGATAGGGATTTTCTATGCTCTTTTGAATACTGCGATGGCATTTGCTCCATGACGTATAGCGGCGCATCTCGACACACTCGAGTCCCGACATGATGTATGCCGTGAGAGAAACATAACAGCTTTCGCCATTTCACTATGCCTGAACGCGACGAGCATGGATTTCCATCCGCTCAGCTCGCCATGAGCCCCTCCTTCATTTGAATCCTCACCATGGGAATGCGGCTCTTTGCCAAGATGTGTGTTGTTTGCAGAGATCTCTCAACTTGGGACGAAGCTAATGTCAGATCCCGGCTCGCCGAGCTTGGCAGCGGGTATGCAGACCTCGATATGGTCAACGCCCCGCCTTCCCAGCCAAAGGGGTACAGTATATCGGTTCGTTCCGAGGAGGCTCATCTGGGGTCAGACGATGGGCCATCTTAAGGTTGAATATATGTTTATTGTGCTCCTAGTTCTTGCCCGGGTGTTTCAATGAACATCTTTCACTTGTGTGTTTCTATCTCCTGGTGTTTTCGCCCAGTTTTCTTTATACTGTCTGCTCTGGTGGCAGCTTACATTCATTTCTATTCTGGCAACCCGTAACAAATACTTCATTCGCTTTTAACATACATTTTCCAATCGACATTCTGTCATCATGCTTTCCCACTTTCTACTTCTTGCTCTGCCTCTGCAGGCACTCGCCCAGGTGACGGGTACGGCCACTGGTTTCGCCACGGGCGTTACTGGTGGAGGTGATGCGACGCCAGCCATCCCATCAGATACCGCAGAGTATGCAGACATGATTTGTTTTGAATATTCAAAACGACTCTGAACTGACCTTGACATTACAGACTCGAGGAGTGGCTGACCGATGATACGCCCAGGGTCATCATGCTCGACAAGACCTATGATTTCCTCGAGGCCGAAGGTACTGCTACTGAGACAGGTTGCGTGCCCTCGAGCAACACCTGCGGTTCCTCTGGACAAAACGCCCTCGACGGTCCTAATTGGTGCAGTGATGACTACGAATCCATAGAGGTCACGTACTATGTCGCGCCCACTACACCCATCGACATCAAGGGCAACAAGAGCATTGTAGGCGTGGGTGACAAGGGTGTCATCCGAGGCAAAGGTATTCGCCTTGTGTCAGATGCAACCAATGTCATTATTCAAAATGTTCACTTTACCGTAGGTGAGCACACACTCAAGGGATGCAACAAACTGTTAACTGTTGCAGGAACTCAACCCTCAATACATTTGGGGTGGTGACGCTATTCAGATGTCGGGTACTGACCTGGTCTGGATTGACCATTGCAAGGTGAGTCATGTTGCCGACAGTGTAGAATTCTATTCTAATGGCAATCCCAGTTCTCCTTGATCGGACGTCAAATGATTGTGTCGGGCTACGAGACGGCTGGCCGTGTGACCATTAGCAACAATGAGTTTGACGGCGAAACCTCGTGGTCCGCTTCCTGCAACGGTGAGCACTACTGGACAATGCTCTTCCTCGGTGCCGGCGACCAGATCACGCTGGCCAACAACTACATTCATGACGTCTCGGGCCGCTCCCCCAAGCTCGGTAGCGATACGGCCGTCACCATGCACGCTGTCAACAACTACTGGCTCGACAGCGACGGCCACAACTTTGACATTGACGGCGCCAACGTCCTCATGGAGGGCAATGTCTTTGACAATTGCAAGACGCCCATTCTCGAGGTCGTGGGTAACCTGTACAACGTCCCCGACTCTAGTGCCGCGTCTGGCTGCTCCTCGACGCTCGGCCGCGCGTGCGTGCAGAACAGCTTGACCTCGAGCGGAGACTTTGACAGCTATACTGACAGCGGCGCGCTGTCCGCCTTTGCTTCCGTCGACAATCTTCAAGAGGCCATGGCCGTGGACGAGGTTGCCGCCTATGTGCTCGCCAATGCCGGCATCGGAAAGCTTTCTGGTAGCGCAAGTACTTCCACTGCTGCGGCGGCGACCAGCACCAAGGCTGCCGTCGCTACTTCAAGCGTGGTCGCAGAGGCCTCGTCTACTCTGAGCACCAAGGTCACGACTTCTGCCGCAGCCACTTCCAAGGCCACATCCACTTCCACTTCCTCAAAGGCTGTGACTGCGACCTCGAGTAAGGCGGCTGCTGCTGCGACGACGGCAGCCTCCTCATCCGGCAGCATTGTAAGTCTCATTCACCTTGATTCGTTGTGATTTGTAGATTGCTGACACTCTCTACCAGGCTCTTTACGCCCAGTGTGGAGGACAGGGATGGACTGGCTCCGGAAGCTGTGTTTCGGGGACGACATGTAAGCAGTGGAACGACTGGTATCACCAGTGCGTGTCCGAGTAATCACCTGAATCTCATTGGAAATGTTGGTCGCTGGGTGTCAGATGTGTCGTATTGGTGCTGGTCTTTAGTTGTATATATTTATTCTACATTTATAAAGGAGCCCGAACCTGGTACTTGAGCTTATCATGTTCAGGGAATTATCATCTCAAGAATTACAAGCGTTATCACAACTCGGGGCCATCCCTTTTCATCTGTGCCTCGAAAGGTACATCCAGCTCGCAAATCGTGGGGAAATGCAATTCATTGATCGTCTAAGCAGAGGGGTAATGTTTTGGGTTCGTGCGATGAAACTCTGCTAATCGTCAGCCGCAGTAGCTTCACCATCCCGTCAGCTAGTCGAAAATGAGTATGGGTTTTCTGCATTTCGCATCCTGCAATATAAATTTCGGATGCCAGATTTCCAGTTTCCCATCAAGCTGTATTGTCTGACAAGTGCCTAGGTTAGATACTTATCAATACCCAAACACGAGGCAGAAGCAGGAGCTCACGCGATGATCTCAACGACACAAACTGAGCTATTTATCAATGCGTATCCGAGCTCCAGAGAATCCCATGCCGCCGGATGCAAACATTGCCAATAACAACATTGAGCACTAACGACGGCCCAGCCAAAGGCAATTCCGAGCTGCAGAGCCGCTCTGAATGGACAAAAGCCTGCCGTTGCACACACTGCCCCGACGGCCTGCAGCCATCGGCATGACTTGTCTCCAAAGCACTAAAATGGGCCATCTACATCATCCACCCCTCTGGCAAGTCGATTTGGTTCGTCATGGACGGACCAACCAAGACTTAGACATTGATTCACATATATACACCACAAGTAAGCAGTAACTATTTTGCTTTCATCTCAAAGGGCTACCCCGACTTCAACGAGGTTACTTGTGTGGTGTCCGAGGAAGCCTCATATCCTCACCAAACATTCATCACCTCACGAAACAAGCAAAGAATCTGTAACAAGAAGAATTAACACCAATTTCCCAAAAATCATTACCATGAGCCAGAGAGGCTCTTTCGCAAATTCCATCCGCGCAATCAAGCGCAGGCCCACGCCCGACGAGCTCGACGGCCGTGGGCGCCGTCCCAACGAGCCGTGGCACCTCAACACGCTGCAGACGCACCTGGTGGCGGCCTCGGGCGAGTTTGTCGGCACCTTTTTCTTTCTCTTCTTCGGCTATGCCGGCCATCTCATGGTGATTGACCAGGTCGCCGTGGACGCGGGGACCGCGGCCCCGGTCGCCACCCCGGGTATCATCCAGACCATGTTTGTCGGCTACGCATATGGCTTCTCCCTCTTGGTGACCGTATTGGCGTTTTATCGGATCAGTGGCGGCTTGTTCAATCCTGCAGTGAGTTTTCTTGCCCCCCGCGTTGGTATGGAGTGTCATCACAAAAGGAGCACACCAAAAGTTCTGACTTGCAGCTTCCTCACAGGTGACTCTTGGTCTTTGCGCTGCCGGGGGACTTCCCTGGATTCGGGCAGTCTTTCTGATTCCCACGCAGCTCATTGCATCCATGTGCGCTGGCGGAGTGGTCGAGGCCTTGTTTCCCGGCAGGATCTCAGCTGTCAATACGAAGCTCGGGCCGCATGTAAACACGGCCCAGGGTCTCTTTGCCGAAATGTTCTTCACGTCCTACCTGGTCTTTGTGATTCTCATGCTCGCCGTCGAAAAGTCTAGGGTTACTTTTGTGGCTCCTATTGGTATTGGACTCGCGCTTTTTGTTGCCGAGATACCTGGTATGAAAAGAGACCCTACACATGCCCAAAAGCATCTTTTACGATTATTTGTGTGCCAGGTGGAGCTAATTTACATACACAGGCGTCTACTATACTGGCGGCTCTCTCAATCCTGCCCGCAGTTTCGGCTGTGCCGTCGCTGGTCGCTCGTTTCCCGGCTATCATTGGATCTACTGGCTCGGCCCGGCCATGGGCGGCCTGCTCGCGGCTGGATACTATCGTTTTGTCAAGATGGCTCACTATGAGGAGGCGAATCCCGGCCAGGACGCGCCGGTTGCAGATGAGCAGGCGTGATCTTACTCGCTCTGCCACTTATCTTATCCCTTGTATTGGTGGGGGAAGGGGGGTTTGCAGGTATATTCATTTTCCCCTGTTGTGCAAAGTAAGGTGTCATGACACCGGTCACTGTAACGGTGGGCCATTGGCCTGCATATCAACTATACCTCCTTGTAGTTTATAACGATCACAAGATGCGCAGGGAAAATGCCGACACGGGTAACCGAGGATTCGCCGAACAATGTAGAAATACCTCGTCACTGACCAATAGGATCAGGTCTAGTGCTCAATTGAGTACTACTTGGAAGCCTAGAGCTCCTGAAGGATGTGACGGACAACCAACGAATGATCACAGAAGCTGCTAGATGGAATCAATCCATATTTTTCTCTTTTCCTCTTCTTTAGAGCGGTTCAAGTGCAACAAAGTCATTGCTTGTTCTCGACCGTATGAATAGAGACGGCTTAGCAATATAGCGTAGAATTAGCTATAGGTTTCAACGATGGACTTGAGCCGAATTTATCTGTATAAAATCTGGAAGCCTAAACAATGAAGATACACTTTTCCACTCATGATCAAGATTCTTACTAGGGGTTCCTTTCACCCCATCATGGTAAATACAGTACGCCCGAGGTCGACCTGTCGCCTCCAAACCCAAAAATCCCTTTCCTAAAACAATACACAAAAGCTTCCAAGACCACCCTTATTCAACGCCAACACCCGTATACAAAGGGAAGCCTCCAGATCCTACGAATCAGAGACCCCAACAGCCGGAAGAGAGTACAAGACGTCAATCTCTGCCGAGAAAGCTGTGTTTTGGGCGTGAGCCAAGAGATCTGGAACAATAAGACATAGAAAATGTGGTATAATCAAACAGACAGTCTAATACTTTGAGAGTGGGTGAATAAAACGCCTCCAACCCTCAAGGTGCAGTTAATGCTCGCCAGGAGGTTGCTTTGAATCAGAGATGCCCTTGCAGTCATCCATAAAGTCTTCTTTTCTGTTTGGTCGATTGAATCAGGTCCTGCCTCAACGTTGAGAGGACGGATGTGATTCAAGACTTTGCGTGACCTGGCCGAAAATCAATGCCGTGTTTTCCGGCTTGAGGAGCTCTTGCTATCCACCTTGGGTTTAGGTGGCAGAGGCTCCGGAACGTAATCACCACCAGTCATGAATGTGTTCAACGTGGAAGTCGTGCTCCTGGGTGACGATAGACTTTCTGTTCTGAATGTCGTCGGCGATCCCACGGGAGCTGAAGTCGTGTAATTGTTATTGGTAGCGTCGATATGTTGAAAGCCCCGCGTTGTGAGCGGCGGGCCCCGTGAAGGGCGACTATCCACCGTGTCTCTGGGATATGGTGCGGTTGTATGACTCATGCTTAAGCGACGGCCTCTTATACTGTCCCTATTCGAAGGTGCTGGCTCGTTGACCATGTTGATGCGCTCGCGCAGTCTGTTCTTCTGGTCCTGGCCATCCTGACGCTTGCTTCTGGTTCTACCAAGCCCGTTGGATGATTCACCCGACCCTCCACTCATCATATAGTCTGGCTCGGATGGTGCCAGACGCCGACGCAGGTCGTGTACCTCGCTTTCGAAGGTATCCCTCTGATGTCTCAGTGTTGAGTTCTCTTCTCTGAGGGAGCGATTTTCGAGCTCTTTTTCACGAAGTGTCGACTTGCATGCGTTCAGCTGTGCATCCAAATCGTGTGCCTTGCTCTTGTATTTTCCCTTTTCCTCGCGGCACGAGTCCAGGGCTTCCTGCAGGGCACCAACGTTGAACCGTTGAGTGTCATGATCTTGAGCTGTGAAGAACCGATCAGATCTCCCTCTTATATATGTCTGGTCAGTAGACGAACCAAGTCCTGAATCCCGACTTGGAGGTGAGGGTCGGGAGGAACTGTCACTCTCCCGGAATCTGACTGTTCTTTCTCTGCCGTCGTGCATGTTCAAGGCGACAAATGAAGCGAATAAGAACACAAGTGGTCAGAGATATGACGTATAGTGTATGATTCTTTCTGAGTGAGGGTAAATGCAGCCGAGTTCTATATGTCGTTGACTGGTCGATAGCAAGGCAGAGGTCGTCCAGATGCTCGGCGAATAGCGAGGTAGATGACAAAAGGAGAAATGAACAGAAAAGCCTATAGGCAAATATTGACTGGAGTGGTTGGCACAGGCTGGTGAGGGTGGTGGAAGATATATAGGTGAGCAGGGGAAAGACGAATCAGGCTGTGCAGATGCGCAACGGAGCGAAACGGGGTCTGGGCGAATGAATGCGCAAAGAAGAGTAGATGGTGGAAGATGAGTAATGAAAAGAGACTAAAGGGACCAAACTCATATGCGAGCACAGTCCGGAGTTCTTATTTGAGACCATAGGTGAGGGAAGGGGGCATTGCTGCCTTCGCGCTCACGGCCTCGAAAACATGTACATACGTACCTGGGTATAGGCGGGAACGCGCGACTCGTCTTGTAGCTTGACCAGCGGCCGGCACACTTGCACAACGGTTTCCAGCGCAAAGAAGGTGAAGAATGCAAGTAGCAATACCAATGTCAACTCATGCCGGTCGGTTGCCTCTTATTTCATTTTCATGAAGAAAAAAAAAGTCCATACGTGACCTACCTGGATTTGGGAATCCGCTGCTGCTGTTTTGCTGCGTCAGGGTACTTTGCCTCTCAGATAGCGCATCCTTCCCGCAAAGATGAGCCTCAGTAACCTGGTGCAAATCCAAGAATATGGCTGCAGGGGCTGGCATGTACAGAAGGACAAAAAAAGGCTTACACTCTCTAGCTGAGAAGGGATTGGACCGAGTTACATAGTTCTTTGCTTTTGTTTTTCTGGTTGGATACAGAATATGTCACTTACTTTGCTGGTCATGTTGGTGCGCAACACAACAGCGACAGCACTGAGCAAAGAGGCATGTGTCTCGGAGATGGCGGAGAGACGTAAAGTTGTGCCCTTCTCATCACACGGATATCCAGGACGCATAATTCTGCCAGTCCTTGACCGAAAAAAGAGGTAGGTCAGGTTGCCTGAATCCGCCTTGCTGAGTTGGCCCCCAACTGGTGCGCCAGTCGTTCGCCAAGTGCAAAGAATTTGGTGGTGGTGGTGGTGGTTGTTAGTGGTAACTCGAGTGCAAAGGTGTGTTTTGCGCGCCGCCATGAGTGGCCAGACGGAACGGATCGATCGCAAGGGAAAAGCGGACGAACGAGTGCGCAATGGCAACAAACGTGCATAGGTACGAACACGTACATACATACATACATACATACACACACAATTTACAGAATGCGCGGCGCGAAAAGTCTCGCGCAGACGTTGTCGCGCGCATCGTGTTTGGTCGCATCTGCTTGGTCTTCGCATTGGCGAGTCTGGCGGACAGGACTGGACGAGGAGGGGGAATAATGAATTGCGTGCAGGTGTCAGACACTGGAGCCGTCCTTGACAGTGCTGGGCGGCCACCCACATCATCCATCCCCCTTGGCTTTAGCTGAGTGCCAGCCACAGCCACGTTGCAAATCATTTTCCTGCAGCTCTAACCAGAAAGAGAGAGACAACCTTGGAAGTAGCATTCATTATTCACATTTTACGCATCATGGCAACTTGAGTTCAACCAACTTGTCAGCTCAATGTCTTGATATCGCACTGACTAATGAGGGCTCGAAAGATGGTGCAAAAGTTTACGAGCAGGAGAATAAGCGGTAGCAGCACATGAGCCCCTTGGGTCTACGTAAAGAACTAAACATGTACCTAAAGACGAACCTAATAATGTATCTACGATTGGGAGACGCCTCATGGAAACAGTGTCTGTCCTAGATTGAGTCCTAGAATCCTCTGTAGCATTTTAAAAAAAAAAAAAAAAAAAACGGACAACTCGATCACTCTGTGCAGCAACGGAAACACGTTTATTCAATTATAGTTGTTCACTGTAATGTAAATGATGAATACGACCCACGTTTTACCTAATATGGTAACCACTGAAACCACTAAAGCAGAACTGCCAGTCTGGCTGTCCCCCACGCTAGGTCACTGGCCATTCATATTGCCCCAACGTCCGGAAGGATTCGCGCGCAACAAGGCAGAAAGAGCGTGGAAAAAAAAAAGCAATGCTATTGAACTTGTGGCTTGAATGAGTCACCCAAACAGCCAGTAGCCATTCAGAAGGGTCTTGGTACGTTTCTGGCATGTTCATGCCTTGGATGCGAGTTGCTCTTGGGTGCATTTTAGAGTGAACCATTCTCAACCAGTGGATCGGGACCGACGTGATAATTGATTCCCGCTATCCTGGAGTAAAATCCTGGGGTTTCTTTGTTTGTTTCGCCCAGCAAGGCTGAGAAACATGGATTAGAAAGACGGGACAGAAAACAATCGAATGCACCAGAATCTTGTATTTGAATTAACTAAAACATGCTAGACGGGACGAGCATCAAGATTTTCAAAGGATTTGATATCAAGGCAATTATTACTGCTACATGAAAACCACCAAGTGGAAGTGTAAAAACATGGTTGAGCAGGGATGGTGACCACCTGGGGCAAGAGCCTTGGAATGGCACTACATTAGGTACTGCCTGAATTGTAGGCACAAATATTGAATTTTGGCACCCCGGGAGAGCTTGGAGATAATACTGTGTACGCTAGCTGCCGCCCTCCAACCAGCCAGCCAAAAACCAAGCTTGTTCACACCAGACCCCAAACCAAACCCTGAGAGTACCACGAGTCCGGGCTCCCCCCCACCACCTCTATTTGCTCACCATTCCTTTAATTGACAACCCTGGCTCAAATATCGGCTTCTTACCTTGAGGCTGCGACAGCCAGGTCAACACTGTATTGTTCTGGTCTACTTCTTGACAGGATGGAATCGATTAAGCTTTGGGCTAGACTCCCCTTATAATTCTGAATTCGCTGCCTATTCTATGCTCTAGTAAGAAGAAGAAAGGGCCCGTGCCAGATTATACGATTCCCAACAGTGGATCAGCGTACTTGGGAAATTATGTGCCCGCGGATCAGCTGTCATAGATCCGTTGGTGTCTAGGCACTCAACGTCAGAGTCTACCCAAATACAAGAAATATCAGGATGTGTAGCATTGCATCCGGACCGCGAAACGGTCTGCCGTGTATTGTTCCCCGGATTCGGCCTGCCGCCGCCGCGCATCGCCCAGCCTTGTTGTGCGACCCTGATCAACTTTGATTCTTTCCACTTCTGTCGGTCTTTGCTGCCGTGGCAGACAAAAACACCACACACTGCCTCGGACACTGTAACATTCAAATGTGAGGATAATTTTCCACACCGCTGGAATGATGATGACGCAAAATTGACCGATACTTTGAGTAGCCGGAGAAGCCGATACATTCTGAAAGATTCCTTCCTCTTTTCATCTTCCAGTCCACGCCAATATACGGAGCTTGCGGCATTGGGGGCCGGACAGGGGATCGCGAAGACTAGATCTGAGACGGGAAAGGATGGAGAGGCAACCCGTCAGGGACAATCAGATTTGGTGAAAGCGGCCGCAAGACTTTCTACTTTTGCTTTCTCGAGGTCGCGCGGTAATAATTTGCCAAGTTGTGATGCTAATCAACCCGGATAACCATGCCACCACCCGCGATATCTTTTGTCAGGATGCGATAAGAAAACAAGACTCCCGCCAGTCTTGGCATCTTACTGCAGAGATTATCAATCCTTGAATATGCTCGAAATAGACTTTGCCACACTGCGGTCAATAACCAGGTCAAGATCTCCGTTTCCCAAAGGACCGGAACGGCCAACCAAGGCCAACTTTGACTTGCGATCCGCTCCGCCTGCAATTGCGCCGCGGCCCTGCAGACAGCCCTGCCTCATGAACCTGCTAAGAGTCCGTGTCTTGTGGTTGATTCGCTAGTAAGCATCTCCTGTCACGTTGTGGCCTCCGATATCATCCCATGGTGTCCCAAATTACTCCTTGAATGCACAATAAACGCTGCTGCATCAACAACAATCATGGCAAAAAGTTCGTGTTCAGAATAGAAGTAGCCTCGACGGCAAGGCTAACACCACTCGTTCGATTATTCGGGTTGTACAGATTTGAAAGTGAGCCTGATGCCGAGCAGTTCAGCCTAGCGGTGGCGAACAAACCTCTGCGATTAAGCATAAGACATACATGCGCGCGCGTGTGTGTGAGTGGGGGGTGGATACATGCACTCAAGGTAGTGTAATATCAAAACGGAAATATGTACATCGTGCTATTAACAAGACAAGGACTTTGTATACGCACCTTTGTAAGAGGACACCCACTCCCAGAGTTACTTTTCTCTTATGCACCGCGCTTGGGAATAGGAGTGGATCATGAGCGACAACCTTGATCCCTCTTTCGAGTCTTCCGCGCGCATGTGCATCACGGGAAGAGTCGTAGCGCGGTTTAGGTCATTTGCGCCTTGCCCAAGTCAGGTCTGTCGGCGTCTGGAGCTCACATGACTTCCTGTCTCGCACGCGCGGAATCGCGCTGTGTCGGCGTGATTACTCACACGCGATTTTCATGGCCCAAGTCGCGACTCAAGAAGATGAATGCACTCGGGGAAAAAAAAATGCTGATGCTGATTTCTGAATTTCACCTCGAGGTTGTGGATGGTTGAAAATAATTATGTATTCGTGAATGCAATAAAAATGTCTATCAATCCACAGGTACGACGACGACTGATACAACCACCCAGATTTAATAGAATACAACCTTGCACAACTGAAAATTGCCTTGAAAGCATGAACTGCAACTTTAATATACATGATGATCGTTATAAGTGAAGGATCGAGCGCTTCGTTCCCTTCCCATGTCCAAAACCCAATGCTACCTTACAAAAGAGAAAAAGTACAAGTTATAGATCGCCCTCCTACAAGCTCAATCTGCTTTCATACATACATGATTTGCTATATCGTAGTTGAATCAAAGCATCAAACATTCGTCGTGCAAATCTCAAGCCGTAGTAACTCCATAACGCCGTGCCCTCTATATAAACAACCAAGCGCAAAATGCAACTACCACCAATACCTCCGAAGTTGATGCTTGAGATGGTCAATCTTGTCCTTTTGCTCGGCAATGGTGACCTCATAATCGTAGAGGGTCCGCTTCAGCTTGTCGTACTTGGCCATCCACTCTTCGCATTTGCGCTTCCACTGGTGCGCCACGTCGTTTGACTTGGCCAGGTTCTCCGTCAGGTCCTCGATCTCGGCGCGGGTCATCCTTTCTTGCTCCCTCGCCTCCCTTTCGAGAACCTTGATCCTTCTCTTGAATCCCTTGATGTGGTCGTCCTCGGAGGAGATGGATCGCCTGAGGCGATCGTTCTCATCCCGGAGGATATCATTGTCCGACGACAGCCGCCCGTTGATGTCACGCAAGCGTTCGGCCTCTGCAGACCAAGCTCGGTTGGCGTTTTCTGCCTGGCAAAGCTCCTTCTTGAGTGCGTCCTTTTCCTTTGACAGCTTTGCATTTTCGGTCACGAGGCTGTGGTTCTGCTCCACGAGGTTGTTGTATTCGGTCCGAGAGACACCGCAGCAATCATCGTGGCATCGGCGGTGTCGATGATGGTGACGGTGCGAAAATGTGTTTGAGCGAATAAACTCGGGAGGCCGACCGGTGCGAACTCGAATGTAGTCGGCGGTAGGCATTTTGTAAGTTGTCATGTTCACCTTATGTCAACACCTGTAACCCTTTGCAGGGCCAAGGATGACAGTCGGTAGTGTTGGCCAGATTTGTTGTTTTGTTTGTTCTTGGCCTGTTTGAATTCACAAAGATGATATGTCGAATAACGATGGTAAGGTTGTAGTGGTAGTAAAAGCCAAGCACTAATGGTGTTCGTTGTATGGTTGCCTTGGATCGGTGTTGTTTGAGTGGATCGATAGGTAGAGGAGCAAAACGGTTAGATCCCAACTTGTATAGTCTCTGCAGATCCAAGCGGGAACTAAGAGATGCAAGGCACGAATAGGAAGATGAAAGTCCATTATAAGCATTTGGGCGAAGCTGCGGGCGACCTGCACGATTTTAAAGCAAACATGGACTAGATGGGCCTTTGCCCATCCGATAGGCCCCTTCATAGGGCTGGACCAGGTGGATGAACTAGAAGTATAGAAAGAGGCCGGCACGAGGCCAATGAGCAACACCATGACCATTGCGTGGGACTAGCACACTTGATGTGGTGATGTGGGTTTCCTCCCAGTGTGTCGCCGGCTGAGCCTCATTGCTGTGTACCGCCGCAAAGGGTTTGGTGGCAGAAGGATCGCCGACCGCCCACTCGGATATCTAGCAGATGAGGTGCATACACTACCTATGACCAGCCAGTTAGTGATCTTACCCTCCTCGAGGGTCCATGGCCGGTCCCATAGGAGTCCAAGAGAGGACGATAAAAAAGGTACAGCTGCGCTCAAATAGAGACCCTGCGTCATCGGGTTAGTACCACGAGAACCTTCGACCACCACGACGAAAATGGCACTGTCTCAAAATTGATCATTTGAGTTGCCGGGAAGGGAAGCTGACTGGCGTGTTTGCGCCCATTACACACATCGGCGCAGTGCTGGACAGGAAGAGGTAACCAAGAGCCTCACTCATTATTTACTGTATTGAAAATCATCTTTTGACAAGCCGAGTCCAAGACATGACCTTTGACGAAACGCGCATAGAAAAAGGTCAAAGGATTGATGGACACAATTCGTAAAATGGAAAAGGCGAGAAGACACTGCCCCGCACAATGCTCACCATGGTCACTGAACGCTGCCCAGGTCCCTTGAAGAGACTAGGCCGCATGTGGCCCATCAGCATCAGCTGGTCCCCCATCAACCAGCACTAAATGCTGCCCAGAGCTGCCACCCGACAGGCCCATCACAATGATGTCCTCTAGCAGTCGAGGTGCCTGCAGGGACCGCTAAAGAAAGTTTCTCGCACTGCACTGGGACCTCATGACGTCTAACCCTGTTCCCAGGACCCTGATGTCTCACTCCTTTGTCAAGAAGATTGACTGTCAACTCTACCCGAAATCAGCCCTGTCGGAACAGCAAGGCTGAATGCGTCTGAATATTTCATAATCAATCAATTCGCCTCCTCCGGTTGCTGTGAAAGGTACATTGCAAGTGCATTGGTCTGGCCCCCAATCCTTAGCAAACAGTACACATTTGTAGTATCACTTGGGCACTCCTGATACCTGATGCTGCTAGGAATACAATCCTTTCCAGCTGGTCAGGGGCATTGCGATGCCACTTGTGATGAAGAGGCCTCTGGACCACCTACATCATTTCCTGGCAAGATGAAGCGCAGCCTAACCGTCCGCATGAGCATCACCTCTTCCAGCCCAAGGGGCGAACAATGCGAAAACATGCGACATGGCCAAATTTAACTATCTGGCAGTAACAATGGCGACCATCTGGAAAATCTAGCGAGAGGGCGTCGTCGGAGCCTTATCATGGTTCAAAAGGGAGGCATGATGCTCCAGGACAGGGGCTTTGGGGGAGTCGGTGCCGAAAATCGCAACACACCGAGTCTTGTACGACTCGCTTTTTTCATGGCCTAAATGCTGAATAATACTTCACACATGTGACGACACACACGTGAAGCACATTGGAATGTTCAGCGATGATGCGCTCGCAGAAAGGAAGTTTAGCCTGGTCGCGCCGTTCTCCATGGTCTTTTGCCCCAGACCTAATACATGAAGCCATCACGAGAGTACAAGAGCTTCTACATGTGGACGTCTCGTTCTTGGCGTAGTGTGTAGCTCTATTTGGTTCTTCCTACTCCTATCTCCCGTATTGTTGCTTTGTGTATAATTTGGGACTGCTTTTGCTCTTGCCTTGATGAGCAGCCAAGCTTTTTACCCAGTAGACGTGGTCTATACTATTCGAGTCTTGACAAGAAGCTGCTACGGAGAGTTTTTTTTTATTAGCATTTTTATTTATTCGATTTCTTATATCCCTCGTTTAATACAGCATTGTTAATCGCGATATGTTAAATGCCTGGTTAAAAACCGAAGTTCCAATCCCGGAGATCAGTGCCCAGGTGATGAAGTCAATATAAGCAACGAGACTGATCAGCCGGCACAGTACACAGAGACCCCGGAAAACGAAGAGGGGAGCGATAACGGAAATCGAGAGGAGGAAGGAGGTGCAAATTGCCGATCCAGCTCGATCAATAATCCGCGTCCAGTCACTATAGAGGCTGATAAAAACGACCCTGCAGGGGAATCTTCTCACATGAGTCAACCGTACTCAACGACCTTGAAGCGTCCTCTGCATATGCGCGCAAACGAGAGGAAGGGAATGCCGAGAACCAGGACCGCTCGGAGAATGATCAGCCTTCAGTCTTCGGACTCAACGAGAAGGGGGTAGACGAGACGCATTCTTCAGAGCTCTCTCCCAACACATATCTCGATAACAACGGAGATTCCAACGAAAATGTCGAAGGCGGTAACGCAGCGATGGCTTCGTGCACCGCGCAGGGTGGTGTATCACCCGATGAGAGGACCAATTCCTCTCCACCCAACCCAAGATCCCTCCAGAAGTGTGAGCGGCCAGAGGATCCAGCGCAAGAGGGTCCGTCACCCCAAGAGGGGTCGAACTGCATCACCCGATCGAGAGCCCGAAGACATACAACCTGCAGCAGCCAAAGCATTGTTGCCACGCATCATGAGTCATGACTTAAAACTCATAACAATGCCACGAGATATCCGACCATTGTTTAATAAGGGCCGGGCCGAAAGAGAGACGATCAACAGAATGTAGCAAAGAATCTCAGAATGGCTCCCCTTCTTTAATCACTACTATCTTTTGATCCACGCTCTACAGCTTGCCCGGGCATATGTTACAATAACTGATAGCAACGCTATTAATATAACCAGAAATAATGATGCGGAGATCTCGAGATTGATTGACCATGTCAATAAAGCAATGAATCCTAATTCAAATCTACTCATATATGATTCCGCGTTAAGCGTGTTTTTTGCTTTTGGCTTTTTATTTTTTCTTATTTTTTCTTATTTTTTCTTATTTTTTCTTATTTTTTCTATTTTTTTTTTCTATTTTTCTTTTGATTCCTTTAACAATATTTACTCAAGGACGCAGTATTGGTGAAGGAGGATGACCCACTAGTGATATTACACACAAGTCCCGGTGAGAATCATATTGCAGAACGCTGAATAGCAGGGACCACTCTTATGGAATGCTCTTTGGTACGTAGGTACTATCTATAGCACTTCAGGACATCCAGAAGGGACCGTGGATAGGCCTAGAGAGATTTGTTGCTCGCACTACTGCGACGAGATGGATTGCCTTTGTTGGAACACATCAATACGGCAAATATTTCCATTGTAGAGTGTTCACTGTAGCCAAAGGGAAATTGTCTTCTCTAAAGCACTGTAGGTGCCAATACAATCACGTTTGCATCTCCATCACAATAGAATCATGTAGCAACTTGAACAGAAGGTTGGCCACATTGCCCGCCGATAAGACTAGGTTGTTGAATGAATTGAAATATTGCTTATGATTTAGCAAGGTAAATCTGGAAGGGAAATTGGAATTGCATTCGCATACATGTTGAGCGCCTTTACCACGTATGCAAATAAGCAGTAAATTTATTCCCTGTAGATTGATTTCGCCGCACGAAAGCGAATGAATAGAGAAATGCCGTAACAGATACAAAATTGGGATGGGAGAGCGACAAGATGAATGCGCTTCGCGTCGAGGAAGTTTGCGAGAGCCATTGTGTAATTACCAAGCCCTAGTTTGTGGCCGGACTCGCCGTTTGCAAGACTCTGTCTTTCCAATTGATTGAGCTTCAGCGTTCACCCACCTTGTTCCTTTTTTCTTCTTCTGTACACTTGCAAAAGTATTGTTGTAAACAAACCAACAGCAACACATTTTAGTCGCGATCAGCAGCAGAAGGAGCCAGGCAACCCCTTTTCTGCTAGCAAAAACTTCCGACGCGAGTCCAAGATCACTTTTTTCAACCGGACGGTGTAATCTTTACACGCACAATTCCATCAACCTTTTGCCATTTTATGGGTCGACTTGCATCCTGGATGGACTGTTATGGACGAGAAAATCCGTACCGACATAGCGCAGGCTGAGCGTAATGCCCCTGAAGGCGAGAGAAGCCATGAGCGCCGATATTGGCATGAGATCACTGCTATTGTGATTTCAGACTCTGACGGAGCTGGATTCAATAACAGGCGGTGGCTGGTTCCATATGAACCACGGTACATCAAATCTGCTGCTTCGCATCACGATGGGTCTGGCCCCCGTACCATGGTCAATGTCGCAACCGCAGAGTTCGGGTACGGGAAGCTCGACATCGACTACATTCTGCCAAAAGATATAACCATTGTGGGTTACGATGATACTTTCGCCAACGCGAGACTTTGTCCCAAGTCAGCCTCCCAGCCTGTACTCGAGCTTTTAAATGCTGAGAAGTATGAAAGTTTTTGTCGCGAGTATGGTTTACATACTAAGAGCGACGACGTCTACTCCGACGCTTGCAAGATCACATTTCTCATGAAGGCGGCGGATTTCGACTACAAGCAAGGTCCGATGGTCACTATGGCTTCACATGAGCAACGCGTTAACTTCAAGCGTGTACTTCGGCAGAGTCGAAAATTGGGTACGACCTTTCCCACAAAGCATATTCTTATCGAGTGCTTTCTCCCATCGTACCGTGGCGATAATCCCACCCTTGCGAGACGTCTGTCAGCCACAGTTGCGAGGGCTCGAAGCGATCCATATCGCTTTTTCTTTGAGAAGGTACCGAGCAAGCGCGTCTTCAAGAGCGCCGATGATATGCCGAGTACACAAGAATGCGCCTTTGTCGAGCCTGATCTCCCGGTGGATTCATTCGATTCAGTCATGGAACAAACCGCCCGCCTGGGTATCGCCATGCGCGACGAGCTAGCGTTCACCAGACTGTCAATGTTGCTGGCAAGACAACGGGCCTGTCATACTTTTGCTTTTGAGCTTCCTGGTCACCGAATTAATGGCGTTACTGCTGGATACTTCTTCGTCTGGCCGGCTCCAGATTTGGAACTAGCCCCTCAGGTCGGTGAACGGTTCGCGGTTCAGCTTGATAACATCCCGTTCAGGCATCCTAAACCACCTACGCCCGAAAGCACAGGGAGGCAGAAACGAAAGATTATAGACCATATTGTCGAATCTTGCATCGTTGCTCGTTTCATAGCGCAGAAATCCGGCAGAGCCAAAACTGATCATATTATTGACGCTCTGGACAAGGTTGTCAAGCCTGGACCTCGCGACCTTCGCGACAAGTGGATAAATGTCCATGCTCTCGCCCTCATGTTCAAAGAGGGTGCCGCAAAAGTGAGTGAATGAGAACATGCTTTACTCTCTTTTAATCGGTTTATACAACCCCTGCCCCTTTTCTCAACTTCCTAACATCATTGGTGATACCACTACTGAGGTGCTAACACGTCTGTCTTCAAAGTCTGGTATAAAGCCTGCCGAACCCACCGAGACTCCTACAGCCCACCACTCCCGTGTTGCCGCGTGGGTGGGTGCCATGTTTGGACGCAAATTCCTCCATGCCAAAGGCTTAAACCAGTGCCCAAACCTAACCGCCGTTCGTGTGACCGTTCCGTCGTGGATGGAACCACTTGGTGTTATCGGTGCGTATGTCCGCGCTCCAACGGTCCCAGATTGGCCGATGCACAAGACACCTGTACCCGTTGTTGAGTTCAAGCTCCCATGTGTGGTTATTGGTTCGGATCCGACGGAGACCATTCGAACAGTGCGGCGCAACAGAGATAAACACGTGTTTATCTCGAGGTTTGTCCGCACTGCCCATGGCGGTCAATTGAAAGCTGGCCTACGTGCCCTCAGTCGATCCGGACAAGACTTTTCGGAGTCATCCGGGACGAATGCTGACGCCTTCGCGCGATACATTGCCAAAGTCAAAGGCGATGTCATTCCGTACGATCTGACGGCTGCATTGCCACTCCTCAAGGATTTTCTAGACCACGCAGAATCAGACACTACTCCGCATGATCCTGTTCTCAAGGCAGCTCTTGGTATCTATCACAAGTTTGACGCGGATCAGAAGGCCATGTATAATCGAACGCGCAACCTACCTTTTGGTACTTGCATTGTATCAGGTGCTCCTGGGTCTGGAAAGAACCATGTCACGCAACTCTTAATGGCTATCATTCAACATAGCACCGTTGACGACTTTGTTGTTTGGAATTGGACCGAAACAAAAGTGTCAGCTCCAGGTGCGCCCGACAACGTGGCAGAGCATCGTTCATCATCAAAACGACCTCCTTCAGCGAGCTCTGAGGAATCCCGCGTATCCCCGGAAGCGACATCAGCACATATTGAACAAGCTATTCATGAGGAGGCTCCACAATCGCAGTCATCTTGCATGCCGTCGCACAGCCAGCTTCTTATCATGGCTCCGTCCAACGACATGCTTGACAAGATAGCAGATGACATGAGTGCTCTTTACTACAATCTGGGTCTTCAAAAGCGTCTCTGTCGCGTACAGACCCCCGACAATGCTCATGAGTACATGACACATTGCATGAACCTAAATGGTACACCTCGATATGATGTGGAAGATCATGGTGAAGACGCCTTTGAGACAGAAGTTTACCTTCGAACACTGTCCAAAGATTGCTTTAACAATCATCGTGTCAAGACCGCTCCAGGTGGCGAGTATGCCATTTCTGCACTTGTAGCAAAGCGAATTGAAATTGCTGCACCGGATGACGACCTCGTTGCGCAGATCAAAACCTTACAGGATCAACGCGAGCATAATCCAGAGACTTTCTTCGAAACGTAAGTAATCTTTTGTTCTATTTTCTCTTTTCATAAGTGCTTTGGAAGAACTTGTTTTTTCATTTTACCACATGGTGCCAGGTATAGCGGATAGCTAATATCACCAAATACATAGAGGCATTGCAAAATTACGACAGCTCCTTCAAAGCGTTTCTGATGAAGAGTATCTAAAAGCACATGTTTTGCTCAGCACTCCCGAAGCGTTCTATAAGCTGGCTGTTCGCGAGGTCAAGCTTCGAATCACGGCAGTATGGCAAGATGAGGCCTTCCGCATGACAGAGACAGAGGCACTCATTGGCCTTCAGTTTGCTAGGCAGGCTTTTGTGAGATTCATGACGGGTGACGATAATCAATGTAGACCCGTCGTCACGTCAGTTAATGCACATGAGAACAAGAACACGAATTTGGTCTTTTGCGCCCAGTTTGGTGAGCAACTGCAGCTGTCTCTGCCGAGTCGAATGATCAAGGCTGGTTTCCGCGCCCACTACTTGAACATCAATCACCGTGCCCGAGGAGGCGTTTCCAACTTCCCGTCGGGGCAATATTACGAAGGGAAAATGGTCGAGGCTGACCGAGATACTCCTGTCGAACAAGAAAGAGTAAAGAGATTCTTTACCGCAATTGGTAGACGCCCGTGTGGAATTGGACCAGCGATGGTGATCAACCTGCCCGGTAGCATGGAGGAGCGAGTTGGCACCAGCTACATCAATCGAGGCTCCATCGATGTTATCTTTGAGCTGCTAATGTTGATCTTTGGTGCTAACCAACTCTGCATGACCAATCCTACTGCGGACAAGGATGGCGAGCTCATTTCAGTCCTCATCGTGTTCCCTTACAAAGCGCAGCTCATGATGTTTCGCCGAGAACTGGCAAAGATCGCGCCTTCTGAGCTACCCATGCACAAGATCAAGTCAGGGTGTATACAGGCAATCCAAGGCATGAAGGCTGGCTTGGTAATCTACGATGGCACTCGAGATGCTTCGCCAGGTTTCACTGGGGACTCGAAGCTGCACAATACAGCACTAACGCGCGCAGTGTTTGGATACATCGCTATCCAGAGCGATCAACTTTGGCTTCGTAACGATGGCCATAACCCTAGAAGCGGACGCGTTCGAAACATCGTCGCACTACATGAGTACTGCTCAGAGCGTGACCGAGTTGTCGACCTCCAACCTAGGTTCCAGGACCACATGTCCCCAAGGGATCCCCGTGATGGTGACTGGACTGTCAACATGTCTTCTGTCGTCCCTGCCGGCACTGAACTACCTGAGGACTTCAAAGGCTTCTCCCCCGGATGTTTTTACAAGTCTTAACAGGCGGTGCTATGGGGCGCGGCTGCTAGAACGGCGTGCCTATAGACGAAAAGCCGAAGCTAGATTGTTTTGATCTGTCGGCGGTCGAGGGTTGAAAATTTGACCTACGCATGGACTGCATCCGGTTCGACATAATAGATTTTACTTTTCACATGAATGATAATGATGAATAAGAATTATATGCAGTTCACCTCGTAATTCTATCAGATTAGACACTGTTTCCACGGTTGATGGTCTCGCCACCATTTAGCGGTTGGTTAATTGAATGGGTACATTGCTCCTCACGGGTCTGGTCGACGCATCATGGACGTTGAAATCGCCATCGCGGGGACCGAATATAGGTTTCATGCCATCGGACCAGATAAACCACTGCCTGTCGTGCATACGCAGTGCTTCTCGAAATCGGATATGGAAACGTCCCAAGCCAATCACGTACATGCCCACTGCATCGTGCAGCGTGGGTGGTGCTCCGTATCCCTGTCACCCGCGGTCGACGGGATTCTTAGAAGGCGGTCGTGTCATGTCGTAGACTTCAATGCAATTGAGTCTGATGTTCTCGACCATATTGTCGGGCATCGACAAGTGCTCTTCGATAATGTGGAGGATCTGAGTTGAAAGGTCTCGGCATTCTCTGATCTCGGCGGCTGCGGTGATCTGACGATCACGCTCTGTGCGTAAGTACTTGATGAGGTGTATGTGGCGGAATACTCAGCGTATATTGTTCCTCACGGGTGTTCATCACTGTGGCCTCGTTGGCCGAGGTCAACAAGGTCGACAAGGTTTCCCCGCCCGCGTTTCTGTCGCGATCTGTGTTACGGTCGTTATTTTCATCGTCATTCTATTGCTAATTGGCTATATGTCGTCGGTTTGCATCGTCCTCGAAATCGTTCTGCGACTTCGTTTGGCGATTGAGTAAGACTATTTCCGCGTCATCGCGAGAGATGCCGCGTCCACTACCGACACGCAGATCGATGGGTTTTGATCTGTCAAGTATCATCTTCGACTGTGGATAAAAGTGCAAACCAAGTTGTTTAATGGCCGCCTGCACCTGTGGGCGCTCATCGCCCATGGAGGAGCATCAGATGACCTCGTACACATTGAAGGTCAAGGCTCCCATCTGAATCTTTGAATTCCATCGTTTCTTCCCAGCTGGACTAATCAATTAATCCCTTGGGACTGGCACCTTCCATGATAATAGCATGGCGACGATCGATCTCTAAAGCATTAACGGGCTCGGCTTTCTCAAAGTCGCCCTGTTACCTCAAACCATGCAATGTACGTGAGATCATTATCGAACATCCTTCGAAGATATTGACATCTCTCAAGACGACCTCAGACTCGCTGTCGCCGTCGACCTCATGAAGGTCGTTGCTTCGGACATCGTCCTCGTCCGTGTCCTTGTTTTCGGGGACGATTCCCCCCTCGCCCGTCAACTACGGGGTCGGGTAGACGCAGTGTAAGGCCAGGGCCTTGCGGTTTAGTACCGGTACTTCACGGGGAACGACGAAGAAGAAGGTTTATGGTGGAAGATGATTGTCAACTAGCTACGGCCACGAGACTGTGGATTATCAGGCTCTGATGATCATCAATCTATGGGTGGCAAGTGTAGCAAAAAGTGATGAAGAAAGAAGGCGAAAAGCTACTGTGGCTGCGGGGGAAATTAGGTACTAGTACCTAGCGTGGTGCCTAGCACCTAACAACCCCCTTTCCGAACGAAAGAAAAGACAGCGTCCTCGCTGTGTCCATTATCACATATTCATTATTCATTATTTTCCTTATTCCTCGCAAAAACATCCCTTTCCCTTTCTGTCAGTGTCTGCAAAACCATTCCTCAAATACCCATTGCCAATCCTTCCGTGCTCCCCATTGACGATCGTTCGTCAGGCGAACATCGTATTCATGTCTCCGATGCTGATGACAGAATCGTCGTCATCGCCCTCGACTTCGTCGGGGTCGTTGCAACGGGTTTCCTTGTCATCCTTGGGACGGTTTCCCTTGCCATCATCGGGACGGGTTTCCTTGTCACGCAGTGTGGCTTCTCTTGATCTTCAACGGGTTTGTTGTTCTTGGAAAAGGCGTGATAATGCTCTTTGCGATGCTCTTCGTAAGTTGCCGCGGTCTGCTTGTTCAGATGAGCGCGGTCGAGTGCTCGTTGTGCTCCAGAACGGACGGGTTGGTCGTCCAAGGTGATGTCTTCCAGTCCGTACATTTCGCGCAGGGTTTCTCGAGCTTTGCCATTTCCAGCAGATCCTTGTACATTGACGGTGTCAATCAGGGCTGTGAACCTCTGGGAGGATTGTTCCAGGTGGTCACTGCTCTGTCCAGAGGTCTTCTTCTCGGCGATCCACTCGACCTTGCGCTTTCACTCCGTTCAAGCATCTTGCTCGATACGATCGCGATAAGTTAAGGCGCGGTCAAGCATACACTGGCGAGTGCTCTATAAGTATCCAGCGGCTGCCTCGCTGGCACGGCAACCCAATAACTCGCGGGCTGTAGGTTGCCATGTAGTTGGTTCCTTGACCAAGTCTGTGAAGTGAAGGTGGGAAAAAATAGTAAAGGTCTAAGCAGGTCTAGAAAAAAAGCATCAACGTGCTTGTATAAGATTTGGCAAAAATAGAGCCTGTGGCCCGTGGCTATTTCTGTACAGCCTGATGGCGGCTGCTGTATGAGAAGGGCTTTTGCTTCCCATTGCGCGCACAATAAGCTGAAAGTTCTGTGGCTTAGTCATCTCTAAAGCAATCCTCACGATATCATCTGTGAGATATTTGCCCGGACGTAAAGACTGCAGCTCTCTCGGGTGGATTTCAGCGACCCTGCTATCAGGTCGAATGGTACATGGACGATTATTTTCAAACGCCGATGTAATTGCTGATCAACTATCTGTTGATTGAATGTCAATGATATCATCGATCACTTCTGGTGTGGAAATTCTGTTATCGGCGGTAGGCTCCTATTATGTTGTCTCAGTCTTGTTTCCCCCCTTCTGACAAAGTTCGGAGACCGAAGGCTGATGACTTTTCGAACGGTTATGGCCTTCCCAAAATCTCGAAAGTGGCATGTCCATTGTAACTTTCATAATTTAGCAAATAAAAATCGGTATTATAAAGGGACTTTAAAATTGTGGTAAAACGGTTTAAGTGAGATTAAAAATATTCAAGGATAAAAAGGAACGGAGCTGTATTATAATTTTTTTAGCTTTTTTTCTCTTTTTCTCTTTTTTCCCTTTCTTATTTTTTTTATTTTTTAATTTTAATTTTTT